CCCCCCCCTCCTCTTATCGTGTGACGTAATATTTGAATGCACCCACAAGTTTTCATCATTTAGTTGCCATGTTTTCATTGCTAGTCAATGGTTTATTTTGGGTTAACTGCCAGTAGCGTAGGCCATTAGTCATTTCATTTAATTATATTTTTTATTCATTGATTAGAGACGCATAGACCAATCGCATAGACATGGTCTATAGGACATTTATGTAGGATGATTCTGTATGGAATTCATTTTAATGAAATGAAAGTCCATTTTAAATTTTAATATTCATTTCAACAATATTTTAATGAAAACTTCTGATTATACGGATTAAATGATTCATCCATTTCTGAAGAAATTCTTGATTAGAATAAAAAAACGTTTGCTCATATCTAAGACTATTCATTTAATGGGAATAACAACGCGAATAAAATTCGAGTTTAAGTTTGAGTAAAAGTTTTTCAAATTAACCCGTTTACTTGATTAGACTGAACTGTCCCGGGTTATATAGGTATGTCGTATATTACGTTCGGATAATTTTTATAGACAGTAGAATAGTCTGTAGAAATTCCTAGAAGCACTGGGATTTGGGATTTTCGCAATTTCATAGGTTTTAATTATTTTTGTTTACTATTATTACTCTTACGATATTCTAAAAATTTTCTAAGCCTCAATTCTTATAGGCGTCTTTCTAAAACGTCATTCTGGAATTGGAAATGGACTTCAATGCCCAGAATACTGACGCATTTTAATAAAAGTCTATTTGAAATTTTTCTATTCATTTGAATTCCTTGAAATATTTCAAGGAGAAGTTTTGATTATATGAAATAAATTATTCACTCATTTCTGAATAAGTTTTCTATTAGACTAAAAAAAACTGCTCAGGTCTAGAGGACTATTTATTCGATGGGAATAAAAACGCAAATAACATGTAAAATTTAATTTAATTCAAAAACGCGATTTAAATGAAGGCTATTTAATTCGAACGAACTGGCTGTCGTCTATGACATTCAGATAATCTAGACGGTATGTCTATAAAAATAACTAGAAGCAATTGGGATTTTTGCAATTTTATAGGTTTTAATTATTTTCGTTTACAATCACTAAAACGAAATTAAACAATTTTCCAAGTCTCAATTCTTTACAAAACTTATAGAACTCCGGACAGAATCGCCCTATAGCCATGATGTTTTACAGCTCAAACGAATATAATCTTTGAAAATAATAAGCATTAGAGTTTTCAATCACTTTTCAGAAGAATTTCTACTTCGAAGAACGAAATGAATATTTCCGGTAGATTCTTAAACCCAAAAGTCTATGTGAATGTCCTATGGAAGAACTGTACGATTTAAACCTGCGTGTAATTATTATCATTCAAGCCAAATGATCCTTCATCTTGTCAAGATAATTTCAATGTAATTAATCGTTAAGAGTTGAAAAATGAACCCACCAAATTTTCTAATTACAAAATCAAACATATATACTCGAACTATAGCTGTAAGTCTAGATTTGCCAAAAAAAATTGGATAATATAGGAGTTTATTTCTTAATCAGTACGTTATAAAAATCTTATATGCAGGGTTTTCAAGCTCGTGTGATGGATATTCACTCAAGTCGTGAAGTTTCTCACAAAAATAATTTGCATTGACCTATGAGGAAATCATTTAAAAAATCGGATTAATCCTCCCTGGAGCAATTTTCCCTCGTAGTTCCACTGAAATTGTCTCCACAGACAATGAGACACAGCCTATAAGATTTTTCCCTGCGTCACGAATAAATTATCTAATAATTTATTTCGAATGGAGATTGATTCCCCTTTTCTTTCGATCGAGTGAGTGCCCTCGCTTATCCAGAAATTTACCGAAATTCTGCTCATTGTTCTTTATTTATTTAATTTGATGATTACTTGACCATCAATTGTGTATTTTGAATCACTAGTGTGTACGTTTATGTGAAATTATTGATTCAATATCGACGTTCTATTCGATTTAACGGTAAAATTGACGTCGACATCAGCCAGGCCTTCAAATAGACAAATCTACGAAAAAATGATAGTCTATCTATAATAAATATATATGTGTACGATAATATATATATATTATAGCCTGAATTATTGGAAAACACGGATGGTTTCGTTCTGTCACACCACAAAGTGCAAATATTATTTTGTTCGCCAAAGAAATTGATGTGGAGAATAAACAAAATGATATTGCGCATTCTGGAGTCAATGATATATCGATATCAATGATAGATACCGGATTGCCACTTCAATTTGCTTGTTTTATGGAGGAAGATTCAGAGGTGAACCCTAATATATCGTAAATAACGTAATCCCATGTTTGACTTATAGCAGGAAAAATATATGTAAGTAAACATGTGTGTGAATAAAGTTTTGAAAATTATGAAAAAAACAAACCTGAACGTGTGTCCTTCCCTTTTCAAATCACATCTGTTCTTTAATTGATTGGAAACGATACTATTGCTCCTTTCACGGCATACTGAACAATTTTATAGAAAAATTTAGCGAATTCGCTGGAAAATTCTATTGGATTTCTGTTGAATTTTCTCTTAATTTTTCGCCGATTTTGTCGAGAAATTTCGCTGGTTTGCGCGTGTTTTATTTGGAATGATCAATGAAAAATATTCTATAGAAAAAATCAATAGAATTAGATTTTTTGTATAGCTCGATCTACAGAAATACTTTCTATAGAAAATTCTCGGCTCGAGTTCCCGAAATTTTCGTTTGATGTGGTTTTTAAAAAGAGAAGAAAAATATACTGAAAACAAATAGAAATTTCGTGTCGAGAAATTTCTATAGAAAATGGAAAAAATTCTATAAAAAAATCAAATTCTACTCATTTTTTTAATAAAATTGTTTCTATTAGACATTTTTTATTTAAAAAAACGCATGAAAGTTGCGGATATCTTCAATAGAATCGGCCAAAAACTAATAGAATTTCAACAGAAATCAAATACAATTTTCTATCAAATTTCCCAGATTTTTCTATCATTTTTTCTCGTACATTACTCTATAATGGATGAAAGAAACCTCAAAGTTAACTAAAGAAATGTGCAACGAAGAGTATTAAAAATTGTTCGATTTTTTATAATCTCATCCGCATGAAGCTTGTGAGCATCGATCTGCACAGCTCTGCACGCGAATACTTCAGCATTCTTCATTGAATTGTAAAATGCAGGTGGCAAAACTTCGAAAAAATCATGATCAATGATTCTCGCATTTGTTAGCATTCTACCGTTCCTTTGATTTGTCCCTTTTACAGACTCAATTTTACACACTCAATTTTTTTTTCTTGAGGGGATTCGATCGGTATGAATTGAATTGATAAAGTTTATGAGGAAAATCTAGAATTATGCGGTATAGTTGCATAATTCTTAACACAAATTGGGGAGATGCAAATAGAATTCTTCATGGAAGTTTAATAGAATTATAGTTTCAATAAAAAATCAACATAATTTCGTTGGAAAAGCTAGGGTTTTGTATTAAATTTTGCTCGGACATGGTTAAATTTAATCAGACAGTTTCATCTGTTGACCACGAGTTCATACAAATAAAATGCAGACTTAAATCTTTTCCTCCTGGAGCAAAGCGTATAATATAATAAATGCAAAACGGACACTTTCCAAATTTTTTTTTTACAAAGTTGTCAAAATTTTTCCGAATAACTCAAAAACATGGGTTAATTTCCCACGACTGACAATAATCGAAAAATTCTCCGTGAGAATTGTTCGCCGGGCCAGATTTTCGGACCGATCGAGTCACCTCAACCCCGACCAATCACTCACCTAGTGACTGCGCTCACAGAGGGTCCAACTCATCGCCAACCCTGAGAAATGACGCGTTTGAATCAAATAAGACGCTTTATTAAAAAATTTCCCATTCTTTTCAATAATTTTTTCGTTGGAAATTAATGGACTGATGTATTTGTTTCAATGAAAATATTTCCATTGCATGAACTAAATAATTCAGAAGTCAAAAAAACTATTGAAATGTGGGGAAAACTCACGCTACGAATTCTCAGCCAAAAGGGGATGGAAAAATATAAAAGATGGTTTGAAAAATTTCTTCATTTTTTAGAAACAGATAGGCACGAGCCGAAGGTGATCTGAAGAGAATAAATAATTTTAAGAAATGTTTAAAAATGCGAGGTGATTGACAGGTCTGGCCGCCATCTTGTTTCGATACATCCGGTTTTTGCAGAAGGAACAAATATTTTAAGCCATCTTGCAGATTTTTCCATCACCTTTTGGCATTTTTAGAAATGTTTAAAAATACTAGGAAGCGCCGCCATCTTCAAACCCCCTATTCAAGCAAGATGGCGGCACTTGTCAACCACCTCGCATTTTCGAACATTTCGTAAAATTATTCACTCCTTTCAGATCACCCTCAAATTCAACGCCCGGTTTCCACAGAAGGAACAAATGTTTTAAGCCATCTTTCAGATTTTTCCATCACCTGTGAGCATTTATAGAAATGTTTGAAAATATGAGGTAGAGGCGCTGCCATCTTGCTTGAATAGGAGCTGTGAAGATGGCGGCGCCCACACATGTCGACCACCTCGCATTTTCAAACATTTCTTAAAATTATTCACCCCCTTCAGATCATCTTCAAATTCAACACCCGGGTTCTACAGAAGGAACAAACATTTTAAACCATCATTCAGATTTTTCCATCCCCTTTTGGCTGAGAATTCACGGCACAAAGTTTTCCCGCATTTCATTCTTTTTTACTTCCGAGGCCTCTCAATAAATTCCTTCTCTTCGAAACTCGGAAACTTTTTTATCTATTGAAAAAACTTCATCTGATGTGGACAGAATCAAAAATACAAATCAGCTATTTGACTAAAATAAAGCTTATTTAATTCAAATGAATTGCTCATCGTCATTCGTCCTATAATCCCCATTAATAAACAGAACATAATTGTACAGCAAAAGAAATAGCCCGGGGGTCACGTGAGCCTGTTAATGTGTTGCAGGGGGGGTGGGACGAAAACGGAAGCATGTTGGCGATACAACTGGTCAAGTGGTGGTGCAGGGTCCAGGGCGTTTTTCTTGCAGTCTCTGCGGAAGTGTTTACAAGCACCTCGCATCGCTGACCCAGCACCTAGAAGTGCATCGGAACCAGACAACCTGCATCCTATGTCACACCACTCTCAGTCGTAGAACCGACCTGCGTCGTCATATGAGATTAAAACATAACATGCAATGGCAAAAGACGATCCAGAGGCATCGGAGTCCAAAAAAAGGAGTGAATTCGTAAATTCAACGATTTTTCATGGTCTTGAGAGCATAACATGACGATTATTCATTTATACGATTGAGAGGGGCCCGCACTGAAATTTTAAAATCTCAGGGGTTCGTTATCGAGCTGATGAGTTTACTAACTTCAGTTTTAATTTAAAAAATGAGAAAAAAATTGGGTTTTGAATTTTTTTTTGATGGAATCTTTAAAAGTGTTCTCATGACGCAATTCTCAGTCGATTGAATTGAATTTTGGTTTATACATACAGGATACACGCGTAAATATGAGTAAATGAGGCTTTTTGAATTTTTGTTTTGTTTTTGGAATTTTTTTTTTCAATATTTTTTTTAATTTAAATTTTTGTAAATTTTTTTAAATTTAATAATTTTTTTCTTATATTTTTACCGTAAAACTGAAGTAGTAAATTCGTCAAAACAATAGATGAAGGCACCAGTGACATCGAAATTTCAGTGCGACCGTCCCTTAACGAAGTTACTTGATTTCATCCGGATTTTTAAAAAACACTGGAATATGTTCATCGGATAGATGTGCATTCATTTTCATGATTTCATTGACATCATTCTTCGCGCTTTGATTCAGATACTTTTTTGATTTTTTTCCTCCAAGACCCTCTATCAGGTTTGAAAAAATTTAATGGAAAATCTAGTGCGAGAAAGGAAATTCCGGAGGATTTAAAATTCGAAAAAACTACTGAATTTTACTGAGCAGTTTTTTAATGGATATTTAAAGGAAAGAGTTAACGGATTTTGATTTTTCTGCACGATTTATTATCCTGATTTTTTTTATATAAAATTCCTTGAGAATGGATTTTTTATATTTTTTGCAAAGTTTCATAATTTTAAGTTCAAATCGATTACAAAAAAAATTGAATTTTTAAATGGAATTCTTACAGATAACGTAAGCTTTTTCAATCAGTTTTTCCATATTTGAGAAATTCATGCCCACAAATTTCCGTAGAAAAAATCTCAAGAAAATAATTGACATAGAAACCCAAAATCCATCGATTTTTTTCTATCAAATATCCATAAAAAAATCGCGCAAAGGTCAGAAAACAATACATTTCAATACAAGTGGGACGGATTTTTTACGAGTGTGCACTAACAAAAAAATATAATTCTGCCAATGAAATTTGTTTCGGACAAACAAAGTCCCAAAATTTCCTTGCAAAATTTCACTATAAATTTTTGTCCGAAATAAATTCAATTGGCAAAATTATATTTTTTCCTCAGTGTGAAGTTGGCGGCCCGAGGCGACGCCCAGGGCTGCCATCCCAAGAGCTGAAAAATTCCGTCGCACACGTGTCTGAACTATATTTTTCGTCAGCCATGTTGCGTTCATCGAGTGCCGAACCTGTTACAAGTAAACGAAAATACTTTTCGGCACGAGGTGAACACAGCCGCAATGACAAAAACTGATATAATTTCCTAGTGAAAACGCTAGATTTTTCTATTGAATGATTTCAGTATCGAAGCGGGAAAACTGATCAAGTGGACCTGACCCTAATCTGAGTTTTTGCGGAATATCTCCGAATCTAAGGGAGATACCAAAATTTTCGTAATGACCTTTTTCACAGCTCTCTGTTCGCTCTACAAAAAAGATCTTGACAAAAATTTCGCTATCTGCCTTAGATTCCGAGATATTCGTCGATAACTGACCGGAAGTCACAATGTAGTTGAACCGTTTTACCGCTTCGCTACCGATTTCACACTTGTACTTCCCATTGTTCTCATTAAAATGTTTGGAGACACGTTAAAGGGTGTGCTACTGAGCTGAAATTGAAACCTATCTGTTGGAAAATCGCTGTAGATTAAACGCAAATAGGAACCTTCATTTGATTCGCTTCGAAGGCCTCTCGGCCGTGTGCTAAATAAAACCACATGCTTTCGTACATATGGATTTCATATTGTTATATGTAAGATGATTTATATAAGTATAAATCAATCATGGAATATTCTAGTCGTCTTTCTACAGTATTTTAATCCACTCATTATCAAAATCTACGGGTGTATGGAGGAAGCACATGTAAAATTTAGTTGGACAGTGCATGAACTTGATGATCATTACGAGCATTGCGAATACATTTGTCAATCGGGTACTATCAGGATGGAAGTTAACATTGGATGTTATGTTATGTGCGGAGTGAACTGGATTTTCTTTCTGCACGTTAATTCGATGATCCGTCCATGAGGTACAGGCTTTCACGTATGAATAAAGAATTGATGGAAAAAACTAGCGCTCGATCTGAGAAATTCTGCTGAAATTCAGTTTTCTGTTGAAATTCTTGGACGTATTTTCCCATTTTTTCCCCTGTATTTTTATTTTTTTCTCGTAATAAAATTCAGGAAAAAAACGCGGAGAAAATATGTCCTGGAATTCTTATAGAAAAGTCTACATCTGTAGATATTTTTCTATGAACAAAATACTTTATCTAAAAATGTGGAAAGAGGTTGCATAAGTTTTAATAGAATTGGCGCAAAAATAGACTCTTTCAATAGAAAATTGATAGAATGACTGAAAAAAAGCCCTAGGATTTTCTGGTAATTTTTTTCATATGTTTGGAACCAATAAATTACCGAGAAATGTGATTCTGTCAGGAGAGGAGAGACATTAGAATATGGAGCCGATTCCACGAATCATCTCCACCTACAAGAGATATACAAAAACATTTCGTAGAAAAACAGAATTCGCCACAAAATTCTGACAAAATTTATGACGTGGAAATATCTATTGAAAAATCCACTAGCAAAAAAAAAACTTTCAACCAAAATTTTCACAGAAAACAAATCACATTTTGCAGATTACATTAGCAGACAGTTTTGTTGATAATTCATTATTTATTATACAGCAGAATTTTTATAATTTTCATTGACAGGAAATCCAAATCACAGAATCTACAGAATTTCTCATCTAAAAAACAATTTCCACGATTCGCTTCTTCTGCGTTTGAAATCTTCACTTTTACATAATCAATTACCAATTAACGAGCAATATTTCTAATGTTTATGAATGAAAAATTAATTATTTAGGGCCGAAACTTGAGATTAAAAAAAAATTTATGCAAATTCCAAAATTCTCTGGTGGAATGTCTCTCTGGTCTCCTCTCCCCTGACCCCAAACATCTCGATAATTATTGATCTTCAGTAACAGCACACAATCTTTGAATCCCCATTTCTCACTTGGAATATTGATCACCCTATGTTTAGTTCATCTTAAAATGCAATGCAATGTGAAATTACGTGAAATGACCCAGTGAAACCAGAATGAATACGATTGGGTTTTGAAAAATGCCTTATGACATCGATCGGATTATAGACTCCATTATCAGCGCTTTAATCTTACTTTATGTGACAATTATGCACTTGAGTGTACCAGAGTAATAGTGACGAGAAATATAGTTATGATCAAAGTAAAATTGATCATCGTAATAATGACGTATCGAAGGAAAATAACTACAATAAAATTAAATAAAAAATGAAAATTTATGATTCCCAATGTTTCAGTGATGTTGATCGAGGAATAAAGTAATATCTGTGTGAGATGCTGATTCGGGGGAGTGATTATTCTCGTTATTTTGGTTGTTATGCACTTTAATTTCGCCTGTTACTGCCTCACAGATGAGTTTTTTCACATTAATTTCCTAATTTATCATTCGTTCTCTATTTTATTGGATTCTTAGCCTCTTAAAACTGTCTCTGTAAGTCGCTGATGTATGAGAAAATCACATGGGACATTGAATATAATAAGCAAAATAGCCGTTATCTTTAATTAAACAATTTAATCCATATTTGAAGTTAAGTTACAAAGGTATTCATCTCAATTAATGTAAGTCGAAAGTATAACGTAGTGAATGTCTGCTGAAGTATTCTGAACGATTCTTGACTCGTTCTCTCTGGTTTTCATCTGCTCGCAGTAGATGCAGGTGGTTGAAGAAGAAAATTGTAAGACCAGAATGGCATATTTAATTTTTTCATACTAAATACCACCTCTCAACGCAAGCACCAAGTGGAGGACAGAACCGCCTTGAACTTTGTAATCCTGAGCGGTCTTTTCATCATTCCTGATGACAAATTCAGAACAACGGGATGAGTATGGTTTTATTACTTATTGATGCAGTTTATTTATGGCGGGTTAAATGTTCTGAGAAGACTTTGATAATTACTTCTGCAGAAAAAATGAAGTTTTAACTGCATGTGCGAAAAAAAACTTACTCTGTGATGAGATTTTTTCTATAAGAATTCTCGAACATGATTTTTAGAATTTTTTTTTCTGGGATTTTATTATGAGAAACAAATGAAAATACAGCGGAAAAAACTTGGAAAATTTACGTCCTAGAATTTCTACAGAAACGTTCAAATCTATTAACTTTATTCTAGCAAATATTTTTCTGTATTGTAAAAATCCAAATCGACTTCTGGTGATGAAAATTTGGTACTCGAAATTAAGATTCCGCAAATAAGGGTCACAAGAGTCACAGTAAGGATCAGGAGGGTCAAAATAATGGTCATGAGGGTTAGAATAAGGGTCATAAGGGTTAAAATAAGGGTCATAAGGTTCAAAATCAAAATAAGGGTCACGAGGTTCAGGTTAAAGGTCATATGGGACAGAATAACAATGATAAGGGTCATATCGGGGTTGGTGAGCGAGGCGACCCCCTAGTCTCTTTAAAAAAATGGCACTATAAAGTCGCACAATTTCCTATAGAAATAGCAAGAAAAACGAATAGAATTTTTTAATAGAATTCGAATAAAACTTCAAGAAAATTCTTATAGATTTCCAATAGAAAATCAATAGAATATCTTGGAGAATGATTCACATAGAAAAATAAAAATCTATTGAATTTGTTCTACCAAATATATCCAATAAATGAACATAAAATAAAAATCAGCGCAACAATGATAACTTTTTAATTGAATTCATTACAGAAAGGGTTAGGTTCCTCTACTGAATGTCTTGAAACTGTAGTGCGTCCAAACAATCGTCGTATCAAATATAAAAGCAAACGAAAAAAAAAGATCTTACATTTGTTTCCCTGAAAAGATTAATCTCTGTTGAGGTGGAGGAATGCCTTCCTTCTCCTCCACTCTTTCCTTGATCCTCTCAACTTTGTCTGTGGGTTCGATATCAATTTCGATCTGCAAAAATACCACAAAACGATTACAAAGCTTCCATTCGGAAATACATGAATCGAGGAGTTACTGCTCAACAATCATGAATTTGCGATAAAACATTCATTCGGAATTGTGTTCACTTTCAATTATTCAATTGCCTGGAAATTCTCGAATCCCAGTGACATGAATTGTCATTTTTTCACCGGCTCACGGGCTTCATTACATTAAAATTGGGTAGTTACCTCTTTCCCTGTCAGTGTCTGAAATGAAAAAATATTTGTCAGTCAACGATCAATTTAGCAGGAATTTTTTTGCTGTTACTGCACAATACCTTGACTTTGATCAGCATTTTCGGAAAGTTTTTTGGTTAGTTCTGCTAAAAGTTTACACTGCCGAACGCCGATCCGACTATTTTTTCCTCTGTCGAATGTCTGATGACATCACGAACTTGGTCGACTACAGAGGCAGAACTGTTGGCAAAAAATACCGAAGACGACTGGAGCGCCTCTGAGTGATGCCGATTTTTTTCAACGAGGAGTCGTTTTTACCGACTAGTGGATATCATCATCCCGTTATTTTCAATATAAGATGGCGTCAGCCTTGATTGTTGATGTTTGTGAAGTCTCGTGAACTGCTGAGAATAGTTTGGAGAGGGATTTTTATTTTCTCGATATAATAATAGTGAGGAGTAGAGCGTTTTTGTCGGCTTTTGGAGACGAATCGAATTAATTGAAGATGAAAGCTGCACCTCATCAACGACTGGTGATGGTTGGGGATCGGGATGGGTGAGTTCAGACATGACAAAATTTAATAAAAATCTTGGGCTTTTGTCTGAGAAATTCTACTGAATTTCTGCTGTATTTTTATTTGTTTCTCGTAGTGAAATCCGAGAAAAGAAAGTTTGAAAGAATAATATCCGAGAATTCTTATAGAAAAAGTTCCAACAGAATAAGTTATGCAGAAAAATCAACATCTATAATCATTATTCTATAAACAAATATCTATTTATTTCATTTGAGCTCCATTTGACCCCAAGTTTCCCAAAATTTTGCAATGATTTTATTATTTAAACTTTACAGGTCTGAATTTGAATCTCGATATTGAAAGGTTTGAAAAAATTTAAAAATCCGAAAAAAAATGGGAAAGTTTACTTTTGGAGGAAGATGAAATAATAAAGAAAATGCAATTTCTATAAATAATTTATAAACAATCAATTTCCCACTATAAAAATCATTTATTCGAAATTGTAACAAATATATTCACATTCAGAATTTTACCAGAAATCGATTAAATGGCAAAAAAAATAAGATTTCCGAAAGCTGAAAGAGTTCCAATTACTTATTTATAAACAAATAATGTTTAAAACATAACAATTCTGCGCAAAACACGACAAAGAATAATTTGAATGACGCTGAATATTCATGACTTTTTTCAAATTTTTCTCACGAACTTTATTCGACAAATCTGATGATTGAGAATGGCTGAATCTATAGCGATCAAAATTACTAAATAAATTAGCAAAAATCAACAGCTCACGGTTCTACACCACGAAAAAAAAATCGCAGATGCAACTGACCGCAAATACGTAGAAGAAATATTTAAATATGTAAAGATTAAAAATAATCTAAAAATAAGGAAAAAATAATGAAAAAAAAATAATGAAAATAATGAAAATCCGTTTCACGGGTTCTAGCATTTTACAAAAATAATATAAAACCAAATATCTCTTTCAAAACGCTGGGGGGCAATAGAATTTTTCAGTAGAATTCTAATAGAACTCCAAGAGATTTTCTTCCAGGAAGTGCCAGGTTTTCTATTTAATTTTTTCATACGTGTTTGGTCGTTCACGATCCAGTCAAGAGGACAACTCACTTTCCAATTTGAGAAAAACATGAACTTTTAGGTTGAAAGAACTCTTACGCAGACGATTGGTCGAGTGTGGATGGAGAGATCAAGTGAAGATCATTTGCAAAGACCTGATCAAGGAGAATGGCCACGACATCACTTACGACATACTGTTAGCAACAGTCACCTCCACAGCGAGGAGTCTAGTGCCGGACTCAGTGAAGAAAGAATTGCTGCAGAAAATTAAAAATCAGCTGCTTGCTCAAGAGGAGAAGCTTAAGATGTAATTTGCCCGATCATGTGTAACTTAATTAACGTATTATGTACTACCGTTTATTCCTTGAATGGAGATTATTGTTCGCCTCGTTCAATTGTGCTGTATAAAGATGACGTGTAAGCAAACGACTGACTGATAAATAGTAATGTTTTTTTACTTATCGAATTGTTGTCTTTTTGCCCATTCAAATATAGTTTACCACGTTCAGTAAACGTGAAGAGTCACATGTCCCTATTTCAAGTAAATCCCAATGAATTACATCGTGAATATCCCAAAAATTTCAGAGAATTTATGGAGAGGTTACATACCTAAACTCCAAGAACAATTAATACCACGGACAATAAATCCCAGGACATTTCATCACCATGCCATTAATCCCCAATGGTCCCAATGGGTCTCCACCTTTCTTACCAAGTTGGAACTAGGTTGTCAGTTTGTGAATTTAAACTCTGAGGTACACCTCATATAATAATATGGATGACCAGGTAGATGAACCAAACAGGTTCATCCCTGAACAGGGGGCCTCCCTTTTCTCCACCTTCCTTCTAAAGGCAATTAATTTGTAAAAATTAATTTGAATATAAGTACTTCTATAAATTCACGAGCATGGTAACGGTAAGGCACTTAAATTTCACGCCTTATCAGCTCTGGGCGTCACCCAGGGCCCACGACGAGGACGTGGCTGGCATCGGATCCCAAACTAGGACCCAAAATAATTTCATGTGGTGATTTTTGACTATTATTATTGCGTTGTGATATTATTGTGCAAAGATATTCAAGTATGTCGCCTATGGAGAATCTAATCAAATTACTCCAGATCATTATAACTATGACTCACCATCGCCCCGAATAGGCATTGTCGCAAAAGATCAGGCTCAGTAATTGAAATAGTATGGAAAAGGGGCGATTTATTATCATAAACTCAAACAATAGGGAAAAAAGCGAATCACAATCTCTCTCATATCAACAATCCTTACCACCATTCAACTTCATACTTCTCATTCTCATACAACGGAGGGAAAGTGGATAATGCACTTCACTCTTCCACAACGATATCGTATGGCGATGCCCAAAATTTGAGAAGCAGAGCAGAAAAATGGAGAATAAAATTGCGAAGGGTAAACAGATCAATTTCTGGAGGATTTCAACTTCCATTTAACATTCCGTAAATAATAGAATGGAAATTGCACTGACTATTTCACTTTTCAATAATATTACTCGTGTATAATCATGCGATCAATTATTTTTTCTGTTGATCGATATTTAATGAATAAAAAATATACCCCCGTCTTCCTTTTTCTGCGCTGACGCGTCCCTTCCGGGAAAGTTATTCCCACGATAACACTGCCGAGTCATGAGGAAACCATGAGAAGTCCCTCCAACAGTAGGATTTCAGGAACTCGATCGTGAAGTTACGTTTTTACTTACGTGCGTCTAAAAAATTATATTCAATTGATATAGCAATCAAAATAATCCCTTTCGCAATAACCGGGGTAATGACACCATCGCGATGAATGTGAACACAAACAATAATTTCCCCAAGAATGTGAGCCACATTTATGATGGAGACAGGTTCGAAGACCTGGAGATTGAAAATTCCGAGGATGTTTTGCTTGGAATCGACGACATTCTGGAGAACTACGAAATAGAAATTGTGAATCCTCTGAGGAGTGACAAGAAACTTCTTGTTCTCGACGTAGATTACACGCTGACTTGTTACGACGGAACTCCTCGGGATTTCCTAGACGAGATGTTGAAGATTATCTACGAGAATTACGACATCGTCCTGTGGTCAGCGATGACCAGAGAATTCGCGGAAAATAGAATCAAATCACTGAAACTGCGCGGAAACCCGAATTACAAAATTGCGTTCTGTCTCGAGAGAGACGCTATGGTTCCCGTCTTCAGTTGGAAGTTCGATGATTACGTATACGTGAAGGCTCTGGAGTTGATCTGGAAGAAGTTCCCGAGGTATTCCGTCAAGAATACAATAATATTTGACGATAATTGGCGGAACTACGCCCTGAACAAGACGGCGGGGCTGAGTACGACGAGACATCGAGAGGTTTCTTGTTCGAACGTCAGAAGTGAATTGATGAGAGTCGCTGAATATCTGACTTTGATTTCGAAACTCATCAATCTGGATATATTCGATCATAACCATTGGATGTCGAACCAAGTTATGATAAGCAAGCAGAATATCAAATCGTTTGAGAGAGGTTTGTGCAAGAACATTTACTTGTTATTTGAATTCGAATGAAGTTTTCCCGCGACTAACCATGATTTTATTCCATTTTTTTATTGGATATTATCCATCATTTTAGCCAATTCGAGCTAGCAATTGGCAAAAAAGACGAATGAAATTTTTTGATGGCATTCCAATGGAACTCCGGTCGAATTCTTAGAGTTCCAGTAGGAATTCGATAGAATTTTTTTATTTATTGTATATTATTCATAATTTTTCACAACTCCAGTTACTAATTAGCGAAAAAAATGAATGAATTTTTTTAATGGAATCGAATGGAACTCCGATGGAATTCTTCCGGAGTTCCACTAGGATTTCAATAGAATTTTTGATTTATCGTATAATATTCATAACTTTAGCCAACTACAGCTGCCAATTGGCACAAAAAACAAATGAAATTTTTAATATAATTCCATTGGAACTGCGATGGAATTCTTCCAGAGTTCCAGTAGAAATTCAAAAGAATTTTTTTATTCACTGTATATTATTCATAATTTTCTTTCACTCCAACTGTCAATCCAAAAAATATCGAATTTTTTAATAGAATTCCAATGGAACTCCGGCGGAATTCCTACAGACTTTCAATAACAAATCAATACAAATTTTTAAAGAAATTGTTCCGTGTTTCAATTGAATTTAGTTTTCACAGTATATTGTTCATAATTTCCCTCACCCGCAGCTGCAAATTGACACCAAAAACAAATAGTTTTTTTATAGAATTCCACTGGAACTCCGACGGAATTCCTACAGACTTCCAATAAAAAACCAATAGAATTTTTCAAAGAAATCGTTCCGTTTCTCAACCGAATGTTCCACTCACAATTTCCCCCAACTTCAGCCACCACCCTCGAAGATGAGGTGACCATGAGTGCTCTCTCCCCCGACCCTCACATCACCCTCCACCTCCTCTCCTCCACCCCAATCCCCGAGCTACCCTACCACGGAGGAGAGCGTCAAACCGGTCGAAGGATCTCCAAAACCCTGACATTCATCGAGAAAGACAAGTCGAAGAATGAAATTTCTCTGCTCGACCTCGTCACCCCCGAGGTCTACACCGCCGAGATGGCAAAAAAAACCGCAACATGGGACATCGAAGTTCTGAATCCCCTGAGGGACGGAAAGAAGCTCCTCATTCTCGATCTCGGCTACACCCTCTGCGACCCCGACGTCCCGTCATTTCCCTCCGTCAAAGCGAGACGTCCGCATTTGTCCCAGTTGCTGACCCGAGCTTATCGTCACTACGACATCGTCATCTGGTCCGACATGACCAGAGAGGATTCATCGGAGGCTCTTCGAGAAATGGGGATAATCGACGATGAAAACTACAAAATCGCTTTTCACCTGACCGTCCAGGAGATGATGATAGTGACGACTTCGCAGTCCGGGTCTGTTCACCTGAAGCCTCTGGAGTTCGTCTGGGGAAAGTTCCCGAGATTCTCGCCCAGAAATACAGTTATAATCGACGACAACAAATGGTACTTCGCACTTAATCATCAGTCCGGCTGCGAGGTGATGCCGTACAAAGCGCGGAACGAACAGTTGGACGTGGAACTGGAGTTCCTGGCGAGTTATCTTGAGTGGATAGCATTCTTCGAGAATTTTCAGAATCTCAATCACAGGCATTGGAGGTGTCCCAAGAATGTACTGATTGCGAATAACAAGAGGATTGTCGATCAGAGACGACGGGTCGACATCGAATGGCACCTCAACAAACTCAAGTTCGTTAATGTTCCTGGGGATGTCACGGTTGGGGAACTCAAGTATTTTATTCATGATACCGTTGGAGTGGCGGTTGCCTGTCAAGTACTGCTTTTCAATGTTCCTGTGGGGTATAAGTACGAGGGGGGAAGGGTTTTAGAGAGAGATGTGGGGGGCTCTGAGGCACGCGGCTGGAAGAAACTTTTGGAGAAAAATCCGTGGAATGGTATGGGGTACGGGGAGGCTGGAGGAAAGGCACTTCCGAGAGGTAATGGGATTTTAGTTTGGATTACTTCTTATGCCTCATTCACTTGTGAGAAACACAAGTATTTTATTCATAAAATATTTTTATGAGAATAATTTTGTGGGAAAATTTTTTCGTGAGAATGCTTGGTCGTCACTTTTCTGAGCGTTTTTTCTCGGATTTTTTTTTAAATGAAAGAAAGGGGTAAATTTGTATCTATAAGGAGACCCTAATTGGAAAAAAATTGGAATTAAAAATTAGAAATTACAATTATTTTAATTAGATTAATTAAACCCCATTTTTTAATCGAATATCTGTTAACAAATTAGATCGACGAAAAATATCTGGATTTGTTTAATAGAATTTTTGTAGAATTTCAGTGAAATTCAAGAAAATTTGTTAGAGAAATTTGGAGAAATGAATTTTTGATGTTTTTTCCACGCGTTTCTTACAGAAATATTCCATAGAAAAAAAAATCGATGTCGATTTTTCTGTATCAATTCAGTAGCGAAGTGGTAAAACGGTTAGTTAATTTTGAATATTGCCCAGTTTTAAATAAATATCTCTGAATCTAAGGGGGATGGGAAAATTTTTGTTATAATCTTTTTTGTAGAGCCGATTGAGAGCTACAACAAATGTAATCCCGAAAATTCCGCCATCTTCGTTAGATTCGGAAATATTCCTCAAAAAGTCAATTGGGAGATAAGTCGACTTAAACCGGTTTACCACTTCGCTCCTGAATTATTCTGTTGAAATGTTTTCTATTGAAGCCCGCATTGCATGCCAACTTTATGATAGACCAACTCTCCTTTTTAGATCGATGTCCACGCGTCCAAAGGAAGGTGAGGAAGTCTTGTTGATGTCCATTCCCGGATAATCAGAATCAATTTCTCCTCATAAAACAAGCATATAAAAATACTTGTCGAGAAAATGGTACGTCAACATGACCTCTCGATAAAATAAGTCACAAGTCAAGTACAACTTCGAACGACAACAGATAATAACAAAACCGTGTGTATATTTCTCTCGATGACGCCAGTAATTCAGCAGTATTTGCGCTGTGAACACCCTCATTAATAATCCAATCGAATAATTAAAGTTAATTAACAAAAATGAAAGCAAAAATTGTGGCATGTCTGAGCATACTCTTCTCGTTATCACTTGTGCATTCAAACGAGGATGTGATATGCAGCAAAATCCAAGGTGCCTTCAATGTCTGTAAATTAAATAGTGTGTTGATTCATGTGAACGAGACGATTACCGAAGCGGGTCTGCAAATAACGGACTCGAGTCTCACGGAAATCGCGGCGCATGCGTTCCAGGACTTGACGATAGCCGAACTGAAGCTAGATTTGAAGGGCAGTCATCTGGAAATTCAGCCCAGCTCGTTCGAAGGTTGATTGATTGATTGAAAACTTTATTTATGCCCTGGGGGGAACATTTCATGGAACAATTTAGCGCATTTGCCGCAAATTCTATTGAATTTCCATAAAGTTCTATTTTCTATTGCTGATTCTAGTGAACAATTCCGCATCCTTACTGCGGATTTTTTTAATAGAAAATGTCCAACAGAAACTGTTTTTTACAAATTTTTCTAGAATTCTATCTTTCTATAGAACTTTTTCTGTTGAAATATTTTCTATAGGAATTCCTCGACATGAATTTCCCAATTTTTCTCCCGAATTCGCTAGATTTTTCTATAAAATTTCTTCTTGCAGGAACTGACGAATAATTTTGAAAATTCAGGTCCTGAGAATGCATTATACTTTATAAATTGTTTATTCAAGGTCTGCAACGTGTCGATACTCTCGTCATATCCTCGGCAATCCTATCTTTGGAACCCGACCTGTTCAAAGCTCTCCCGCTCCTAAATTCTCTCTCGATAACATCTTGCAAGATCGCGGAATTGAAAGGAGCATTCAGTGGTCTATCAAAACTGGAAAGTCTCTACATAAATTATAATAATCTCTCTTCCGTGGATGTCGATACATTCCACGGGGCACGTGATTCAGTGCTATATCTGTGGTTGAATAACAACGAAATTTCCGGGATTGACCCGAGATCATTCAGTCCTTTTTCGAAACTGCGGAGACTCCAGCTCAGCCACAATCAACTGACTGCCATCAAACCAGAGACATTTCACGGATTGGATCAACTGAATGAGTTGTTCCTGGGTCACAATCGCCTGTCGGTTATCGAAAAGAACGTTTTTAATTCCTTGAAACAACTCACTAGACTCGATCTGAGTCACAACCAAATAAGCAGCATCGAGGATGGAGCCTTTGCGAGCCTCTCCCTCACATTCCTCAACTTGAGGGATAACAGACTGAGGGTCATTACCGGTGGGATATTTTCTGCTGCTTCGGTATCAGAACTGAATTTATCGAACAATGATGTCAGGATCGTTGAAGCCGGTGCATTCAGGGACTCGAGAGTTGAAATAGTTTTTTTTAAGGGTAATAGGGCCCCGATGAATAGATCGATTTGGGGACTGCCCGAGTCATCAGATGTTCGCACCGACGATGGTTGAGGATGTGAAACTATTGTCTATTGATTTATTTATTTATGAGAAGTAACTCAGGAAAATGTTTGGATTAATGTAAATAAATCTCTCGTTTATTGAATGTTTTAGCTGAATAATTCTGGTCAAAATTTAATGCCTGATAAAGAGGGAATAGTTTGATTCCTTGCATATGAATTCATTTCATCGTGTTGCTCCGATATGAATTGACACATACATCTCTTATCTCAAATTAACTTCACTCATTCATCTATACAAAATTACGGTTAAGGCTTTTAAATTTGGTATCACGTCATATAATCCTGGTAAACATGATCCTGAGATTTTTTTAACGATTACATTGCTATTAATTCAGACTACTCGAACTACTGTAAATTAAATTATGCGATCTGTATTCGTCAACGTCCGTAACCTTTTTTGAAGCCAATCTATTCGACGTATCGTGTCATTAGATTTTTTATAAATGATGATGATGTCAATAGTAATCAATAAAAATTTGATGTCAATAAAAATGAAATTTTGAAATTGGTTTATCGATTTATTTATGTAAAATATTCAACAAACTTCAACGCCCTCGCTTCCTCAATCCCATTGGTCATCCGAGCAACTGCAATGAAAGTAGATACATTTGGGAGTTCCTCGGTAGCAGAGGAGAGCTACTGTGCAATCCGAGTCCCTCCTACACTCAACAGCTGAACCGAATTATAATTGCGTTATTCTTTGAATGATTGTGAATGGATTCGGGTAGGATAAAATTTAATAGAAAAACCTAGTGAATTCCCTAGAAAATTCTATTGAATTTCTATTGCACTCTATTAGTTTTTTTGCGCCTAAAATTATGTGCTTACTTGCCCATTTTTTTCAATCGAAATATAAATATTTCGAAATCTTTCATCTTTTTTTATAATCTTTTTATTATTTTTTATTTAAGGAAAAATATTCTATAGAAAAAATCAATAGAATTTGATTGAGAATTTCTGGGCTCAAACTTTTTCAGGTTTTTTTGCTGTTTTTTGTCTTCAATTTTTTTGTCGCTTTTTTCAACGTGAATGGAAGGAAAATAGAACCGAAGAAACTTCGAAAATTCATGTCGAGAAATTTCTATGGAAAATGTCTCAATTAGAAGTTTTAAGATAAGATAAGATAAGATAAGGTGTTTATTGTTTAGAAATTTAAACAAATGAAACAAATGTTTTATGGAAGATGAAATTCTATTGATCTTTGTTTTCTAAAATAGTTTCTGTTGTACATTTCCATCGAAAACCGCGCAGTTCTGCTGCGAAGTTCTCCAATAGAATCGGTCAGAAACTAACAGAATTTTCAATCGATGTTCAATAGAAATCCAGTTGAATTTTCTATTGAATTATAAATTTGGAAAATTGTCTATCGAATTTACTAGGTTTTTCTATGAAATTCTTTCATGCGCGTATTGCTAAAACTTACCTTCGGAGTCAGCTGCTAGGAAAAGGACCACTGCGATCACCAGAAACACTGCAATTAGAAGTCTCATTATCGAGAATGTAAAAGTCAACTAGTCACCATGGAGGAAAGTCTGACAACGCGAGCCGTGTTGCTGCTAGTCTTGATATACTCTCCTTCTCCATCCTTCTCTGAATGATAACGATAATGTTTTTCAAGTGTTCATGAAAGGAGGCGGATCGAAACATCTCTTCTCCTCTTCACACTTGTTTGAAAAGGCTTTTGAGGAAAAACAGAAAAATTGGGAATTTCCTTACCAAGAAATATTGGCATTGGAAAAAATTCTAAAGATAAACTATTGAAATTTCCTCATTTACCGAAGTCTAAAGTTATTTGATTTCAATTTTTCTGTAGAAATCCTTGTGCATAAATTATCCAATTTTTTTCCGCTGCATTTTCATCCTTTTCTCATAATAAAATCCAGGGAAAAAAACTGGAAAAAATCGCGACCTAGAATTCTTTTAGAGTTCCAATGCAAATTTAATAGAATTCCTCTATTTAATTTGTTCTGACATGAATTCGTAAAATTGTGAAGACCTAATGAATAATTTCACAAAAGGCAGTAAATTTGATAAAAAAATTCTATTTAATGTCTATGGGAATTCTATTGGTGTTCTATTAAAATTCTATGAGACAATTCTATTGACGATTATGTAATTAAAAAAACAATAATAGATTACGATTTTTCTGTATTTTTATCCATTTCACGTGATAAAATCTAAAAAAAACACTTGGAAAATCCTGCCCTAGAATTCCTATAGAATTCTACTAGAATTCCGTAGAGAAAGCGCTAGATTTTTTTATACGTGAATTCATAAAATGGTGAATTAATGAGTAATTGAACAATATCTCTCATTCTACGCGCACAAACAAATTTCACAAAAAACAGCAAATTTTACTTTACAATTGTAAAATAAAATATTAAAATTCTAAAATAAAAGCTACAATAGATATTTTTTTCAGATATTTATTGTAATTTTAAAATTTAAAATTTTATTTAGTAAATTTCATTTAAATGATGTTCTATGTAAATTCTATTAGTTTCCTGCGCCAATTCTATTAAAGATAATGCAATCTTTATAAAACTTATAAATTTAAATGAATTTAATAACTGGATCAATTTTTATCGTTTGGACATAATAGATTCCTTCACTTCGAATCAGCTAATGGCCGCAGAGGCCAAAAACTACAAAAGAAATACAAATTTAATGATAATGGAATTTCTTAGAGAAAGCGCTAGGTTTTTCTAGTTTTTCAGGCGTAAGTCGTGAGCTGAAGAGAGACAGAGATCCCCTCGAAATATCCGTCTCCTTCTCTCCTGCACGGCCGCTGTAGGAGCAGCGCAGACTGACCAAGAGCGAAATCAGCCCGAATATATAGTATCCACCAGTAGTTGAATCCGTAATGTCGTATAACCTCAATCATCCGACATTTGTATTCCCTCCACAATAACAAAGAATCACAACACAAGAGATAGCACCAGTGCACGCTATCTGTCACAATCATGGATTCAACAATTGTTGAAACTACGTGCAGATTGTGTGCAGATCGTGGACGGAATTATCACGCGATTTTCACGTCCGATTCGCATTCCATCGCTGATAAAATCAATAATTGTTTGCCAATAGTGGTGAGTGAATTTCCACAGGTCTTCGATGTACTTTTTTATTTACAAATGCTCCCCTTTAGACGTAGAATTTCCGTATCTCGTATTGTTTCTTTCCATTTTAGACTATCGAGTGGGGAATATTCAGTGGAAAACTCCTAGCGAATTCGTTAGATATTTGTATTGGATTTCTATTGAACTTTACATGAGTTTTTGGGCGAGTGGAATATTTTATAGAATATTGTCTGAAACATTTTTTTCCCCATTTCAACTTGGGTTTTTACGGTTTCTCATTCCTTCGGCAGGTTTTTGCCGCATATTTGGCTTTCCCAATGCTCTTTCCAGTTTTTCCAAGCAATTTTTTTTTCTGAGGTGTTCTCGCCCGGCCACCCATCCATCTAGTGACCACGCTCAGTGCTGCTTCACTTCCCAAAGCTAAAACTGCCCACCACCGCGACTTTTTTTTAACTATATTTTTTATTCACAATTACAACAGGATATTTACATTATTTAGAGTTATTTAGATAAAAAAAATAGTAATATATCTAGTTTTTACACTAAATTATGGTCACTCAGTGACTCTCGGGTTTGATCATTATAATGTGGTTATTTCGATGATTTTATATTAAATGAAAAAAAATTTTTTTTTCAATTTTTATTTTTGCCCCATTCATTAGCATTTAGCATCTTTTTTTGTGTGCTTAAAGAATAGAAAAAAGGAAAATTTTTTCAAGAAAGGAATTATTACATAATTGTATTTATGCTATAAAAAAACGCTCCAATAATTACACTAACAAAATTAATAGAATTTTTTTCCCTCATTGGGAGAAACTAAAATTCTCTTTCTCAAATATATATTTGTTAAGACTATGTGATAAGTTACTGACGTGCTATATACAATAGTCGTTTAAAAGTATTAATACATATAATACTGATTCATTTTATCAGTTCTCTCGGGTTATTTATCAGTTTTAGTACTGTAAAAAGAATTGACCCACCACCGCAACGCCCCAGCCCCGTAGGGATTTTCTATTAATTTTTTAATAAGAACAATAGAAAGGCCGGAAAAAATAGACCAAGGGAAATTTTTAAGTTGGATGGGTTTTAATATGCTTTGGATGTGTCGGCTATGTTTTCCAGATCTATTTTTTCCGTCTACCAAACACTAAAAATCCAGTATTGCCTAGCGAATTCGGTAGGTTTTTCTATTAAATTTTTTCAAAGTCGAAACCTAGAAAATTGGCTAGGAATTCTGCTTTCACTGGGAAATCTATTAAAATTTTATTGGTATTCAATTTAAACTCTATTGAAGGTTCGCACAAATTCTGTTTTATTTATGAATTTCTATTTAAAATTATGGAATTTTAAAATAAAAATACAACTGCGTGAAACACACAGGCGTATCAAAATGCAACTGCGTGAAACACACAGGTGTATAAAAATACAACTGCGTGAAACACACAGTAGTATGGAACTTCAACTGCGTGAAACACACAGTAGTATGAAACTTCAACTGTGTGAAATACACAGCAGTATGAAAATTCGGCTGCGTGAAACACACAAACTTCACCCATGCGTGGAGTGTATGGAGTGTACGGGAATGATTCACGCAATGGTGCGAATAGTCACGGCCGTAATTTTTCTTGAATATTTCTCTCCGTGTATTCATTGAAAACTGGTCAATAGCCAAAATCAACTTGAATCATTTGAGGCTGCACTCACATCTCGATGGTTTTAATAAATTCATTAATAGTTTTAATAGATCCAAGTCTTTCCAAAACAAGGAATGACTATATTGCATGGAATGAATAGAAATTTTCCCAGCGAAATTCCTTACCCCACCCGCCCCCTCAAATTATAGATTAGCGCTGATGATGGTCTACCATCGCACATTTGCTCGCCCTGTTTGAGTGACTTGAACACCTCCCACAACCTCCGCGAAAGATGTCTCGAGGCAGATGGAATTTTGAGACAGCAAATGACAGTAGTCCTGATCGACGGGATCAAACAAGAAAGAAGTTTTGACAGTGAAAATGAAGACAAAGACATAGATCCCACTGAAACCTTATTTTGCGGCATATGTGAAGCCAACTTCGACGACATAAACACCTTTGACGATCACATGGAGAAGTACCATGCCTCCCAGTGGATCTGCAATTTATGTCAGAAGGACTTCCAAACGTCCGAGGACTTGCTCCAGCACAAGCACGCAAATCACTACGACAGTACCGATAATCCCGAAGACACGAAGCATGTCGACTCAGATGTCTCCGAGGATCTGTCCGATAACGACGAATCGATTGAGATTAAAGAGGAAGACGTACCGTTGAACTGCAGGAAAGTTCCGGACAAGGAAAACCCCATCCCCTGCGAGATATGCGGGGTGATGATTGAGACTGAAAATTTTATGGCTCTGCACGTTAAATTTCACCAGCCACGCTCGATGTATTGCTCCACGTGTGATCGCATGTACTCGTCGCCCTACGATCTTTTTCTTCACAAACAAAATGTACACAAGGGTTTCGTGAACCAGAAGATGAAGTGGTTCTGCGAGAACTGTGAGAGGTTCAGCTCGAATCCCAGATTTTTAAAGAAGCATGAGAATTGTGGAAAAGCCAAGTTCAAGTGTAAATATTGTGAGGAGGAGTTCACCAAACAAAAGCAATTTTCGCGACATCAGAAAGTGAGTATATTGTTGAGAATACCGATCTCTTGGATGCAGTCTAACGTGTTAACGTTCATCTCTCTTTCTCTGTTTCTCTTTAATCCCGTCTCTGAAGTTAACATCTTTCAATTGTATGACTTACGTCATTCTTTACTTTGTACAAGACAATGCACAGTTAGTAGACATCAATCAGTCACATTCATCAAAGACCATTCGCCACCAACGAATTGCTGTTTTTCCGCAGTTCTGAAAACTTATTCTTCCACAGAAAAATCATTATGACAAGATGTTCACTGATCCTGACGTTGTGAAGATCAAATGCCCGACCTGTGAGAAGCTGTTCATTGAGAGGACCTCCTACACTTGTCATGTCAGGGTGAGTCCTCATGATAGATATTATGCAGTAACCGAGGCGGAAATTTCTTGCGCTAATTGAAGGACGTGAGAGGTTTTGACCTATAAAGGTCTATTAACAATCAAATGTGTGAACATTGAATACACATTGACTTTAGTCTGTTGGCGTCTTCGGTGAACACAACACAGATTAATAAAATAGTTGGGGAGGTTTATTAACTATTTAACAGAGTAAATATGATGTGTCTTGCACAAGAGCTTTAAAGAGAATCGTCCAATATCCAAGTTTTCCAAAAGACAATCGTTACCAAGGGGCTTCTTCAGATCCGTTCGATGATAGACAATTGAATCAGGATTCGAAGGGGATACGTAACATTATATTACACTAGGGGGCGTCGCCCCTTGCTCGCTTCGCTCACCGACCCCCACGGATTGGGAGCGAATGGTTTATCTTTAGGGAAAGGCTTCAACCAACACCTTGAAAGCCCCATGTGATCTTCACATGGCCCTCATGTGATCCCCACATGACCGTTATTCTGACACTTAGGAACCCTAATTGCGATCCGAATGCTGACCCTTGTCACCTTTGGTTTCGAGTCTCATTTTTCGTCTTAATTTTCTATCGCCAGAAGTCGATTTGGATTTTTATAATGTAGAGGCGTTTTGTAATAGAGAAACGGCCGTATATTTCATATTCTTCTTCAGCAACATCGTTTGAGGATCGAGAGGAAATACGGCTGTGAGGAATGCGATGCAAGTTTTTTGAGCTCCACACAGTTGAGGGGTCACATGGATGACATACACGTGAGACGAAGGGACTATAAATGCAGTAATTGTGGGAAAGCGTTCACTAGCAATCGGAGTCTGGTAATAATGAATGGGATGCGGAAAAGTTATTTAGAAAATCTCGACAAATTTTACTTTTCGAAAGGCAATCGTAGACTGAAGTATAATTCAATGGAAAATAATTCAAGTGGAAGATATGTTACGATTCGTTCAGTAAAAAAATGGCAACAGACAAAAAATTTAATGTACGATTTAAAAAAAAATTGATCATTTCATGAAACTCTAGAGAAAATTTACCTGAAAAGAGTTAAAACCGAGATTCGCTCCGTGATTAGTCGACATTTTCAGTAATTTTTCCTCATCTTTTTTCTCCATACATTTGCCACGGTGTCTGAACAAAAATGAAAACGAATATATTGTGATACTTCATAGAAAGCCCATGAGATAAGACATATAAGTCAGACATGTCGAGAGTGTGGAGAGCAGTTTGAAAATACCCGAATTCTCCAGAAACACTTATTGGAAGTTCACAGTATTACTACTCCGGCTACGGGAAAACATACTTGCAAAGAATGTGGGAAGAAATTTCCGAAATTGAGGCTGTTGAAGGATCACAGGAACATACATTCCGGAAAACGACCGCATGTTTGCGACATTTGTAAAGAAACTTTCAGGTATCGAATCGTTTTCTGTCTATTTTTCGTGAGGGGAGAACTCATTTTTGACGTTGTACTCCTGTCTATATTTGCAGAACATACGCTGCCAGATGGTCACACGTGCAGAGGCATAAGAATGTGGGTTTTTACTGCGATTACTGCAATAGAAAGTTCTCGTGAGTTCATTTTTATATATTCTATTTTTGAAAATTCATGCCGCTTAAATTACCTTTTGCAGAAAAATTATTTTTCTGATACCTTCGGTTCCAGAACGAAAGGTCACGTTCGTCGACATTTGGTCTGTCACCTGCCCCCCGAAGACTGGAAATACAAGTGTGAAATCTGTAACCAGAAATTCCAGAGAAAATCCCACCTGGAGACTCACGCGAAGAAGCATAACGATACTCGCCCATATCAGTGTGACCTATGCGATGCAAGATTCCTCAAAGACAAGTTTCTTATACAGCATAAGAAACGTCGGCACAATGAGCCCAAGGTGAAGAAGATTCGAATCAAAATTGCTCCCCAGAACTTGTTGTAATTTGTAAGAGTACGAGGTTATCATCTATTTCCATTGTATATGTGCTTATGTATCTAGATATCTTAGTAACATCGCAATCGGACAGTGATTTGGAACAAAGTATTAATTAAAATATATCGGATATTCAAAATTGCTCCGTTGGGTCATGGTTTTTGTTGTTTTTATTATATGTTATGATTTTGTCGCACGCATAATTTTCTGTGGCGACTTAAATTATTCATTTCCATAGAAATGAGTGTCAATGACTCACTTCGTAATTGAAAATTGCGGAAAATTCTTCTCCGCAGAATATGGTAATGACGCGTGGAAAGGGATACCCCACTCCCAATAATATAATCTCATAACAATAGTTACAATAATAGCTCTTTATTTTTGCTGTCATGAGATCCCTCAAATAGTTTCACACTCATCTTATCCTTGACAATGTAAAACACATTATTTTTCCTATTCAAGTTGCATGTGACTAACAATTAGTTGAACACTTTTTTCTTTTAGTTGTTTCATCTACAATCAACGCTCTGTATATAATAGTATTTTCCTATGCTGTTGCGATGGGATTTTTCGTTCGTCCACACGAATATTGCAACAGCCCAAAATTAATAAAATGATTGGAATGATCTAAAGACAAAATTTTCAACTGTTTCCCAACGTTGCAATATAGGGTCGATCTTCCGTGGGACAAGGTAAGGTTCCAACATCAGTCCAGAAGTGACTTTTCCTTCCTACTGGCTCCAGCATATTTCTCCAGACGGAGTAAGTCACTGCAAAAAAGAATTGTACACGAATAGAAAATGAATATTTTTGCAATACCTGCCTGACAAGCTAATTATTCCGATACGAGTACGTAAAAGTGCATTGTCTTCGGCGACGACAAGTGCTACACTCCCAAAAGTCAACTTATGCCTGCAAATGGGTCGCATATATTTTGCATATTTATTAAATATTTACTGACATTCAGCGCATATATACATTATGTATAAATGCGGCATATATACTCATACAAGTCAAATATATGTAACATATATTTTTTTTCATTTATAAATATATTTAATGCATATATTCATTTCTATACGGGAAAGAACACTTTTTTCATGAGTGTCGAACCCGATTTTTCATCGCAGTGTGTGGAAAGTGTAAAGCGTACGAAAAATTTCCCTCTACGCACAAGTGGTGCAAAATAGAATATGTTAGATGTGAAAAAATCTGTTCTCGTGACTATGAGTTTGCAAGTACGTGAGTTAGAAAAGCTTTTTCGATCGTGTGACAAACAATATGTTTATCATAACGGCCGTGCAAAAACTAGAATGACAAAAAGACTCCACACAAACTATCTGGAATGAGATATGAATGAATCTTGGACTCACTTCTCTCATTTCCGAGCTGACTGAAATGGAAACAATCAGCAGACATGTACCGAAAGTCCGCGGTACCATCGGGTAATGTTGGCCAAGTGTAATTGACGAAAAGTGGTTGGGCAACCACAGAGAAGTCTTCTCGTTGGAATTCGGGATAAGCTGCTACTTCTTCATCGACTTGTTGGAAGCTGTGTGAAGGGGAATTGTTAACAGCATAATATCATGTATGAAAAATGGTTGTGAGGTTGCTGCAAAGAATCACGTCGAGTTTCACGGGCGTTGAAATTTAGGCGAAAGGTCCAATCATCGTAATTATAAAATTGATAGGAAGAAGAAACGCTTGTCAGTTCTCAATTCTAGGATTTGGATTTGGAAATTTCCTGGGCTTTCGGGAATTGGGGTTTTGCAATTTTCGCATTTCATCGTTTTAACCATGGACGAATTCCATGTAACAATTCTATTATCAGTCAGAGTATGACCTTTTCAGCTCTGGTATCCATACCTCCACATGATGTCGTAAAATTCTTGCCTCCTATGCTGCCAGTCTCGACCTGATAGGCATGAACACTCTGCTGCATATGTTAGCTGGCACAACGTCGACCGTCCCTTCTGATCTACCAAAGGTTTTATGTGAGGAGTCGATACGACAGATACTAGGGTTCTCGGTAGATTATCCCTGAGGGTTCTCAATGTTTTGATCAAATCTCTCCGGTGATTTTCTATGGTATCACTCGCTGATGGATTCCAGCACATGTCCGAGCAGAAGTCATTAGCACCGTTGAAGAGGCTCACAAGCTACACGAGATATTCGACACATCAGTAATCAAGAATCGTGCTGTCAAACTCGTGGATCGACTGATAATCTTAATCAAATCTGTAGTGAATTGGTAAACTAGGATAAGTGCATTTCAACTGAGGACAATTATCAAGCGATATCTCGTAAATAAAAACAGATATCGAAATTTTTGTCGGAAACTTTTTTGTAGCCCACATCTCCCTCTACAAAAAAGGTTCTAATAAAAATTTCGATATCTATTTTTATTTACGAGATATCGCTTGATAACTGTCCTCAGTTGAAATGCACTTATCCTAGTTTACCAATTCACTACAGAAATTGTAGCTTCAACTTCGTATCCAAATTGTTACCAAAAATGTATTATGAATTTTCTATAGTTTTTGAGTTAGTGGATACGTCTGTTTTCATCATGAGGGACATTTAGGGAAAAAGTCCTTATGGTTCCTTATCGACAGTGGCGCCAACTATCGAAATTCTAGAACATTCTGGGAATTCTATAAAATTTCAGATTTTTCTAGAAAATTCTCCAGTTTTTTTTAGAAATAAATTGCAATTTTAAAGGATCCTTAGCTCTGGTCGGTAAAATCTGGACAGTTGGTTATAATTGCACGAAATAGATCAAATTTGTGGATCAGTGTTAAAATTCCCAAGAGTGTTTGTACGTGATGGCTTCATTGTGAATGAAATGTGTTGAACGTTTGTTTAGGGATTTTGGTTGTACCTGAAAATTCAATCGTATCGTGATTATAAAAAACGTCTTATCACGATGAGACGGTGCGAAATCCCGAATTCTTCTAATATACCTATATAAATATATACAATGAAAAACTATGATGTCCAGTGAAGGAAAGGGGAGATCACAGACGTATCCACGTAAAATTACGGCTGTATCTAAGATTCAGCCACCCGCAGATTTTTTTATATTCATATTTATATATAGCTGTAGACTAATCTGTCTCATGGTTAACTAAAAAAAAAAGACATTGAACACAAAAATGTGTCTTATCAGCTAAATTCCTGAAGAAAATAAGAGGTTTTTAAAACGAAACCAAAAGCGTCTCAATTTCAGACACGAGTTTTTTAAGAGATGTTGCAGTGACGGATTGTTCACGAACCGAACACTTACTTTCCAATGATTTTTCATATCAACCCGAGGGTCACTTTTCATTCTGCGGGCCAAAATCTCCGCCATGAAGGGCATATCCCTGGACATTGAGGCACTCTCAGCAACATTGAACTCCGCTGCTGGCTGATGATTCCATGCATCCTTCTTGCAATACCCAAAAAGTTTCGGATTGAAGGCTTTTAGGATATTGGGAATGGTCAGTGTGTCACGCCAACTACCTTGTCCACCACCGAGGGACGAAGCGCCGCGATTTTCAATGAATATTGTGATCATGTCTGAACCGTAAATGCCGAATCCTGCTGTTAGAGAGTCCCCCATTGCGCCGATTACGTCGATGTCTCCTGGTCTCAGTTTGTGGACTGATGTTGGCACGGTCTCCGAGCGGCCGGCTAGACAATTATCAATTACTATTGCTTTTTATTTTACTGGAGACTTATTTGGGTTTGATATTTTCGATTGTGCAATCTCATCTCTAAATATTCCCCGAAATCTTTGTTGTGTCCCAGATTATTGTATTAATATTATGGAATAATGCAATTATGAAGAAATTAGGAGCCAGCATCGTATTACAGCAGACCGTTTTGTGGTGCGAATACAAAGACGAATCGAGGCAAATGTGCCACGGTTTTTGAATAAAAACCGAGATCACTGGACTCAGCAGCTCATTACCAATGTAGTTCATTATTGAGTACATTTTAACTTATTTTATTCTTTTGTATCGAAGTAAACCGTTACTCTTTAGTGTGAAATTAATAAAATAAAGTATCTTAAATTGCTGACATTGAGTCCATATTACTCGACCATTCTACCGTACAGTACACTTGCTTGAAAAAAAGTTTGACTTGAATGAGGTCCTCGGATATCCTGATCCTAAACGTCGGTTTTTCCGTATACTGCGAGTTCGGATGATAGACTTTGACAAGAACTCAATAAAAATTCTAGGATTCCGATCAATGTTCACGAGTAATAACACTCCTTCCCGCGTCTCGATCCCACTTTTTTTTTCTCGAAAGACACTCGTTAAAAATGGTTATCAATCAGCGGTAATTGTTCGCTCATTACCAGTTATATTGCAGGGGAATGGGACGCTTTCCGGAATGGGATCCTGCACCTTCCCTTGCTTCTGCGCTGCCCGATATAAGTCTCCATGTTGATCACCAGTGCTACCTAAAGTGTGATTAAACTATACAATAAAATAAACAAGCGGGGTTGCGAGTCTACGCGACAGAAGCCATGTGACTGTTACTTTAGGCGTTGTTAATTTTTTTTTCTCGAACAAATCCATTGGTTATGAGCTTCCGAATGGATCCGCAGCAATTCCAATTTCAGGAATGACAAATCGCAATTCCTGTTCAACTTTATTATTTCATCTGATCGAATAAGTATCTTCAAGGGATTTCATTATTGAAAAAATGAAAATCAATGGACTAATTTTCTAGATATTGATAATTAACTTGAAGAGGATGAAAGTTGTACACCCGGAAATTCAGCAGTAGGTTGATTGACAAAATTAATGAAGAAGAAATAGAGAGAATTTCGTTGGGATCGAAATACAATTGTTCATTGGATGATTTGAAAAGGCATATAATATAAATTTATGTTCTATTCGATTTGATATTATGTAATATTTAATGAAGAGTCATAGTTATGACAGAGGCAGAGGTCGGTGGTGTCCATTTAAAAAGTTGTAAATCTTCGATGATTTTTTTTCATTCAAAGTATCGTCGTTAGTCATTGATGAGTCTGTGAATAGCGGAGTAATTATCATCTCCAACTTGATCATAATTTTTATTCCCTTCTAGAATCATAAAAAACGACATCAAAATGATAAAAAGTTTTGAATAGTTCAAAGTGAATAAACTGTGGACAATGAGCATTTGTGTGTCGACCCCAACCAAATTCTCTCTATTTCTTCTTCATTAATTTTAAGTCATGAATATCTAGAAAATGAGTTCATTGATCTTAATTTTTTCGATAATGAAATATGTTGAGGATAATATCTGTCAGATGAAATGAAAAGTTGAATAGGAATTGCGATTTTTCATTTTTTAAATCGAAATTGTTCCGGATCCATTCCGAAATTTATTACCAGTGGAATTGGTAGGGAAAAAAAAGTTAAAGACGCACTCACGATTCCTCGTCTGGGAATTGGTACTACTTTCCAAATTCGGCAAGTTGAGAATATTTTCTCACTAGAAAAAAAATCTTATACCGGGGCTGTTGCGATGGGTTTTTTTTACTCCTGTGGTTGGCCAGCCCGCGACTTCGGCTCGGACATCAACTCCGCAGGAGTAAAAAACCCTATAGCCCCGAAAATAGTAGATTTTATCATCAGGCCCATAAAGTATTTTATGTCACACGATTACAAAATATCTGAGTACTTTTCAGGCCTTGAAAAAAGGTGGAAAAAATTACCGATCGAGTCAAGTAATCGTGGAGCGAACTCGATTGTCACTACTTTTTCACTTCAAATCGGGGAAAAAGTGCGAGACGAATCGTGAATTTTTCTCCGTTGGCCCGGGAAAATTACAGAATTGTACAGAAGGATAATTTTTGTGCCCATAGATGTGTATTTTTTTACCGAACGAATCCTAAAATATTCTCCACAAACAGATATTTCTTGATTGATTACATTTCGCTCTACGATTTCCTTTCCAACAGTAAAATTTGCCATTTTCTAGGCAATTTTATCCAACTTCTCTCTCGCTGGAATAATTTTTGATGGAATTCCGTATAAATTTTACAATTTCACCACAAAATCAACATGATACAGTCCTACTCATCTCAAATCGGCTTCGTCGGCTCGATTCATGAATTTTTTCCTCAATATTTCTTACCAATTGAGTTCGTCATCCAATTTCTGAGGCTCCGGATTAGATAAACACCGTAAGGATTATCTAAAAATGTTCTTTGCGTCGTCACGAGTGAAGTACAGCTAATTAAGAGCAAGATCACGGTCAACGGAAGTTTCGACATTTCCGATTATTCTGAGAGTTCTCACGTTGCAAATTCAGAATTGAGAATATTTCAGAGGACAGAAGTAGTGGGATAAATTCGAAACACGGAGATTTCGATTCCTAGACCGATGACAAGGTTTTTATTTCGAAAGACGATAACAACAAAATTGAAAGTTGAATGTTTTTTCTATGCGGAAGGTAATTTCTGCGCTGTACAATGTATCGTACCGGATGCTCGGAGCGATGAATCTGAACTGATACTAACAATTGGAAAAATCGAATAAGTGATGCGCATGAGATGCACTCAGGGGAATGAGGCGAATATAAAATTGGTAGGAGTTCCTATTGTACTCGTATTTTGAATTTATAGACGAGCATTAACGCTGATGATGCACGGAGAAAAAAGTTGGAGAAAAATTATCAAACAAATCATGTAATCGTGGAGCGGAATCCATTTCCAGGTCTTTTGCGCCCTATATCGGGACAATAATGTGAGAAAATAGTGAATTTTTCGCCGCTGACTTGAAAAAATTTACTAAACGTGAGGGTAATTTGTGCCGAAAGCGTAAAATTTCGATTATTTTCGTCTCTGGGCGCTTATTGTCGACTTGTTTTATCGAACGAATAATAACAAATCTTTTATTGAACTACAATGTCACTCCAGGATTACCTTTCGTTTATAATAAAATTTGCCACGATTTTCTAGTAATTTTTACTCAACTTTTTTGTTCGCTTAGCCGAAAGGATTCTGTGAATTCGAGGCGAATGTTAAATAATGCTTGATGAATTCTATTTCCGGAGACTTCAGTTCCTAGGCCGATGACGTTCGCAAGGTTTTTATTTCGATATAACAAATAACGACAAAATTGGGAGTTGAATGATTTTTTTTATCCGGAGAACAATTTCTGCACTGACGGTGTACCGTACCGGACGGTCGGAGCGGTCAATTTCTACTGATAGTAACAATTGGAAAAATGTAATAAGACTAGACTTCAAACAGGCGTATTTTACGGTCCAAATTAACCCTCGATCACTCGCGCTCGGCCGCCAGCCTTCATCCGTCGCACGGTCAGCGCACCGCCGCTGGGTTAAATCGAGCGCGCTGTTGCCACTTTGGCGATTACCGCTATGCGCGCATTTCAAGTGTGGCAGTGAATGTAACAACACTGCCGCTCGAGCGGTCGACAGGGACTCAGTCGCACCGGGCGGCGTAGCGCCGCTTTTCTGTCCGTTCGGCATTTCTTTTTTTTTAGCTAAACAAATTTCCCCAGAAAACAACGGACAGCGCCAACGCTTAATAAAAGGATTCGACTAGGAACTCGAATTATTTGGGAATTTTTAAGCGTCGAGAAACACGCCGGAGTATTAAAAAACGAAAACGGACGGCGCCGCGCTCATTGAGGGAGTGATCGAGGTTTAAAACGTAAATTACGCCCAAACAAGGTTTTTTACGTTTCACTGAGCGCATTTTACACCTGAGAAATCGTAAATTACGTAAATTAGGGTGTTAATAGCAACGCATTTTACGAGTTACTTATGCGTAGTTCACAGAAAAAAACATTGTCTTTTATGCTTGAAATAACTTTTTTTTCTTCGTCGTCAATTACGGGCAAGTAAACGTAAAATGCGAAAAAAATCATCGTAATTAACGAATACGAAACCGTAAATTACGTTCGTGCAACTGTAATTTACGGCGATTTTTAGGGTAATTTACGAAGACGAAATCCTAAATTTCGTTTATGAAATCGCAGTTTACGGCGATGTTGAGCGTAATTTTGGCTTTCACTTCAGGCGTAAAAGATGCCTTAAGGATATCCAAGTACTTTGACTATTTTTTCTCCAGTGAAATAGTTTTATACTTTTGTAGTCGAACATCAGACCTTTCATTTGAACCACATTTGACCCTCAGTTTCCGGACATTTTACAATGATTTTATTATTTAAACTTTGCAGGTCTGAATTTGAATCTCGATATTTAACCGGTAGGAAACATTTTAAAAATCTGAAAAAATAGAAGGTTTACTTTTGGAAAAAGATTTGTAAAATAATTAAAAAATTGCAACTCTTTAAATTACGAATATTTTCTATAAAGAATTTATGAACAATCAATATATAAATTTATTCATATTCCTCATTTTACCAGAAATCGATTTTATACCCAATTTTGATTAACAACGAATTATTTATAAAGAACCAATGTTTAAAAAAATTAGAATTCTATGCAAAATGATGATTTAATCATTTGCATACTAAACTAAATTTATAATTCTATGTAAAATCATGATTTTTTAATTGACAATTTTTTTTTTATTGGTAATTGCCTAATTTTATGATTGAACATGGTTAAATCTATAGAGTGGTCTGTATCAAACTGTAAAAAATACTTGGATATCCTTCAACATGATTTACGTTTAGGTTTTATAAAAAATAGATGAATAATGTACATTTATTCATTGTCTTTTGTTCTACTCTCCGGCTGATACGTACATCAAACGTCTTTTGGCACAGACAACATTCAGTGGAAGGATTTTACATTCATGGGTTCTTCCGATGGCATCACCAATTCCCGGGTAATTTCGTATGCTCGATGTGCGCACGGGTGGTCTTGACTCTTCAAGGATATTAATAGTAATTGAAACAATAGTTTTTTCAAACGATAGTTTGTCAAACGCGTTTGGTAAAAAATCATTCTCCGATACAGAAAAATTATACGCAATATTGAACAAGCATTCACGTTCGTTGGGATAATTTTTGATGGAATGCAGGGTAAATTTTACAGTTCGAGCATAAATTACCCTCACGTTCAGTGAATTTTTCAGGGCCAACGGAGAAATTCACTATTCGTCTCGCATTTTTTCTCCGATGTGGAGTGAAAATAGAGTTCGCTCCGCGATTACTTGACTTGTTCAGCAATTTTACTCCAACTTTTTTCTCCCGTGAAGTAATTGCTAGTATGGAATGACCCAGACTCTTTGTTTTGCTTCAAGAATCGCCAATTTAGTCAATTTTTTTCGTTCGTTTCCAGAATTTCCCCCGTAAATTCCTCTTCAATTGACTTGTTCAGTATTTTTTCTCCAAATTTCTCTCCGCGTGAATACATGCAAAGTAGAATTTCGCGGAGAGTCTAGACACACCGGACACGCACGGAGAGAAATATTCAGTAAAAATTACGGAACTCAAATTCACTCACCGATTACGGAATCGACTCAGAAAATTTAAGTGACGTTATCGTAATTTTTCACAGGAGATTCAGATAAAAATTACGGAACGCTCTGGAAGAATTCCGTGACAGTTCTGTAAAATTTCCTACAATCACTTTTCGCTCCGGAATTACGGAAAAGATACGTAATTTTTATTGAATATTTCTCTCCGTGCGGAGAAAAATTTTCTAGAAAAATTCTATTACGAGTACCGCAAAAAATCACAATCCACCGGCTGTGAAAAATTCTAGTGCTGTTAAGGTAAAATTTCTTGGTATTTCCGGTAAAATTTCTGGGGATTTCTGTGAAATTTTCACGGAAATACGGGGAAAAATTCACGTTTTCCCCAATAAACTTTCTAGTGCCGGCACTGGAATTTTTTCCTGGCCGTCACTTTGCGCCTCTTTTCCCGTGCTAGCACTAGAATTTTTCTAAAAAATTTCCGTGTAATGTTATTATCCAGTGCAAAAATCAGCAATCCCAAATGATAAAATTTGTGATTCAAGAGAGTCTACTGCATTCATCCGGATTTTTTTCTACGCACCAGTATGTATTTTCGAATCAGTCATTCATTATCACTCATCTTCATTGATAACAACCGTGAATACAGGAAAAGACTATTGTTCCCAACGATTAAATCGAGCGTGCGGATTGTAATCGATCATCTACTTGAAGCGCTTATCCCCAATTTCCGAATCTCATCGCCCCAAACCTGGCTTCTGCGTTATCTCATCAATAATCTGATGATTTCCCGGAAAATGCGGTATCAGACATCCGCGGAAAAATGCGGTATCAGAGTTGTAAGATCTGCAGCGGAACATTATCAAGCCGACGAGTATATAAATCCAATGACAAATTAATTGACGCAGCGGATGAATTGGGAGGATCAATCATGAAGACACTTTTGGCACTCGTCGGCTTGGCGGCACTTTCTCATGGTAAATAATTTCACTATTGAACTTCTATGGAACTTTCTATCAGTTTTTTCTATTAGTTCTTCTCTAGGAGTGGAACAGATTTACTCGAGGGAAATTAATCATTTTGATAGAAGCAAATTTAATATCTTTTACAAAATTAAATTTTTGTCGTGATCATCAGAAATATCCCGAGAAGAATTCGAACTGTTGGCAGGAAAAAATATAATCTATTGCGCGATAATCATTTGATCTGAGAGAACTCCACAGATTTATACCGTAGAAAGAATACATTGACGAGGAAAGAATATTTTTTTCCCAAAAAAAATTTCCCCTCGAAATTATTTAGTTTTGCCAATAACACAGTTTTCGGAAAGAAAATTGTAGTTTCCTCTTGAAATTATCATTTGTTCCATGGAAATTATAAGTGTTTATTGGACGAAGATATACACTACTCAATAATATTCACTTGATAAAATCGGAGCCTCATAATTCTCTGTAGAACGAGTGTATTTACCCGAAAGATATATAAATGTCTTACGAGAACAATTATTACTAAGAAAATTATCATGTTTTGGTGGAACCTTTCTTTTTTGTCCACAAGTAAATTGATTCAACACGACAAAAGATCTTTCCAGGGGAACATAATTTATCGGCAGAACTAATTTTTTCTACTGCGAAATTCTTTCTAATGCGACTTTACTGCGCTTTTTTTGATAAAAAATATCCTATAAAAACTATTTTATAGGCAAAATAGAATTTCATTTTTCTACACAACTTTTTTTATTGAGATATTTTCTATAAAAATTCCTCGACATGGATTTTCTGAGGTTTTTCCATTATGTTTTCCTCTTCTTTTCGTTAAAAACTAATTAAACAAACAAACTCCAACAAATCAACTCTAATTTAACAAAAAGAATTGGAAAATTTGGGTCAAAGAATTTCTATAAAAAATATCTCAATAGAATATGTCGTAAAGAGGAATAGAATTCTACTAGTTTTTTTGATTGAAAATTTTCCAATGAGCAGTTTTATTGAAAAAACGGTAATTAAACTGCGGAATTTTTACTAGAATCAACCGAAAAGTAATAGAAAGTTCAATAGAATTTTCTAGCCAATTCGCTAGGTTTAACGCGTGAGGACGAAGGACATGAAAATCTTCTGTTCTTGAATTCAATTGCGTTTCCAGGGCACATTTTACCGGAATCTTTGGAAACGTCTCGCATTGTGAATGGAGTGGACGTCGAAGTGGGAGAAATTCCGTATCAGGTAAGTTGGTCGAATTCTCAGGCAGACACGTATGAACAAATTTTATAGAAAAACCTAGCGACTTCTCAAAACAATTCTATTGAATTTCTGTTGGAACTCTATAAGAATTCTACTGAAGTTCTATTCTAGAATTCTATTGGAAGATTCTATTTGTTTTTTTGCGCCAATTCGGAATTCTTAAATATAATCAGCCTAAAACTGATAGAATTTTGAATAAAAGTTCAGTAGAAATTCAGTAAAATTCTCCATCGAATTCGCTAGGTTTCTCTTTTAATTCTGGATGAAATGACTATAAAATACTATTCCATTATCAATTCGAGACGCTTCGTTTATTATTAATTTTCCCTCGCTCAGGTTTCCCTCCAAGAAAGAGCGAGTAGCTTCCACTTCTGTGGAGGTTCCATCCTCAACAAGAAATACATCATCACAGCTGCGCACTGCGTCAAAGGGTGAGTGTCGAAAGTGGTCATGAATGGAAAAAAATTGTGAAAAATATGAGCGCTCCCCCTGAGAATTTGTATCAACGTTCGTTGGAATTCCGTGAGAATTCTATTGAAGTTCCATCGTGATTCTTTATTTTGCAGAAAAAAAACAGATTTTTATTTTTTCATGTAAATTATTCATTTTCGATTGCAATCGACGCAATAAAAATTCAATATTTCACACAATTTCAATAGAATTCTCATAGAACTCCAATTGAATTCTGTTTTTTTTTTAAATTCATGCTCAAGAATTCTCATAGAACTCCAATTAAATTCTGTTTTTTTAATTCATGCTCAAGAATTCTCATAGAATTCCAATTGAATTCTGTTTTTTTTAATTCATGCTCAAGAATTCTAATTGAACTCCAATTGAGTTCTGTTTTTTTTTAATTCATGCTCAAGAATTCTCATAGAACTTTAATTAAATTCTGTTTTTTTAAAATTCATGCTCAAGTATTCTCATAGAACTCCAATTAAATTATGTTTTTTTTTTAAATTCATGCTCAAGAATTCTCATAGAACTCCAATTAAATTCTGTTTTTTTAATTCATGCTCAAGAATTCTCGTAGAATTCCAATTGAATTCTGTTTTTTTTTAATTCATGCTCAAGAATTCTAATTGAACTCCAATTGAATTCTGTTTTTTTTTTAAATTCATGCTCAAGAATTCTCATAGAACTTTAATTGAATTCTGTTTTTTTTAAATTCATGCTCAAGAATTCTAATTGAACTCCAATTGAATTCTGTTTTTTTTAAATTCATGCTCAAGAATTCTGATGGAACTCCAATAGAATTACTAAAAGAAAGCGCTAGATTTTTCTATCAATTTTTTCCACGCGTCATTTGTTAATGTCATAACAACTTAATGACAGTATTCCCATCCAATTGCTGCCATTTCAGGAAATCTCCATCTTCAATCAAAGTGATCTCGGCAACAGTTGAATTATCAGCGCCAGTAACAACCCATTTGGTTGAAAAAATCATAGTCCACGAAGGATACAATGCTGCTGACTCCTGGAAGAATGACATTGCCCTCCTCAGGGTACTCGAAATGAACCTCGATCAATAATTAATTTATTTATCATCAACAAGTGCAAAAATACCACAATTGAAATTACCTTTCAGGTGAAGGGGCAATTCGTCGTCAGTTCGACCCTGAATTTCGTTCCACTGCCGAGTCTGGAGATGGTGGTTCCTGCGGATTCACCTGCCATTGTGTCAGGCTGGGGAAATCTCAGGGTATTACACACACGAAGAAATTTCATAGAAAAACTTGGGGAATGCGAGCGAAAATTCTATTAAAATTTTATTAGTTTTTGGCCGATTCTATTGAGAAATTATTTTGCTTTCCTGTGCATTCATTCTACGGTAAAACCTCAGTAGAGTTTTACTTTCAATACAATTTTTTCTATTAAATATTTTATATAGGAATTCCTCGACATGAATTTTCGATTTTTTTTTATTTAAAAAATCTAAAAAAAAAATTGAAAATTTGAGCCGAGGAATTTTTATAGAAAATATCTCAATAGCATAAGTTGTATAGAAAAATCAAGCTTCATTGATTTCATCTATAGAATATTTTCCGTTGACCGTATGCTCCAATAGAATTTCTTTGCGAATTCACTAGGTTTTTCTATCGAATTCGTTCGAATGTATTCTGCATTGGTTTCCTGCAGAATACATTCAACTAAAACAAATAAATAACTGTCTATCGTGGCCTTTTCAGCAAGGAGGACCCAGTCCCAATCACCTTCAGAAGGCTAAAATTCTCATTGCTGACCAGAAATACTGCAAGAGGCGATATGCCCCAGGAAATACTGTTCACGATACTCATATTTGTGCTCACGATCCAGTTGAAGAAACGGGTTCATGCAACGTAAGCCCTATTGTGAAAATTACACTACTCTCATTACCTATTACACTATGAGAATTTTTCAATTTTTCGCGGTTTTTTATTTTTCAAACATTAAGGATGTCCAAGTACTTCGCTCAAGTTAGCAAATTTAATTATAAATATAATTATTTTTTCAAAACTTGAATTTTCACACCCATGAAAATTTAACACCACATTCAATCGAATTTTTAATAGATTGAGAATTTGAAATGATAATTCCATGAATTTTTATAATTTTTAGTATTTTTTTTTATCTGTGAATCTGGAAATTAGCATTCTATTGAATATTCTATCTCTTCTGTAATTCCGGAGCGCAATGTGATTGTAGGAAATTTTCCGGAACCGTCTCGTATTTTTTACCTAAAATCACGGAATTTTTCCAGAGCGTTCCGTAATTTTTACCTGAATCTCATATGAAAAATACGATACCGTCACTTAAATTTCCTGAGTCGATTCCGTAATCGGTGAACATTTCTCTCCGTGTAATTCGTTAATAGCTGTACACATATTTCCGAGATTTTTTTATTTGAAATTCCAACACGCTTTTTCGAAAATTATACTGCAACTGAGAATGGGGTACTTCTTTATCTATTTCAGGGCGACTCTGGCGGTCCTTTGACGGTGAGAGGTAAACTCGTCGGGCTCGTATCGTGGGCCATGGGCTGCGCTCTGACGAACTACCCAACAGTGTACACCAGAGTCCCGAAGTTCGTTGATTGGATAAAGGCTCATGCTGTCTAAATTCCTGATTGAATCCTCGAAAGTTGTAATTCATCAAAAATCCGATCGATTCATTGCATTATTCCTGTATATTATTGAGATAAAAGTTAATGAAAGTGAGAAACGGTAAGGTTTTACTATTCTGGTACCCATGGAAAACAATACGCGCGTCCTGTTCTAGTATCTGTCAATGAACGAGTTAATGTCTCTAGAAGCTCTCCATGTGGTCAATGAGAGTCACATAATTATATTTTTTCCGTAGTTCGTGAAATCAACGCACCAAGCAGAACTCATTCCATCCTGTTTCTATGAAATGAACAAATTTTTTAAGCCACCTTTCAGATTTTTCAATCCCCTTTCGCCTGGGACTTCATGACTCATCGTTTTCCCCGATACTTTGTCTGTTATCAGTGCCTGCATCCATCCATTATCAATCATTTTTGTTGATAAGGAATGTGAACAGTGAAAAAGACAATGTTTTCCAATCGAAGAATCTCTCGTCTCCATCCCAATCAATCATCTTCGCAGATTGATTGCAATCTTTTCCCAAATCTCCTTTTTTACACTCCATTTCTATGTTATCTTATCGAAAATCTCAAGATCTCTCCTTATAATAATGTGTTCCCCATCAGACGTATAATCTACGGCGGAACATTATCAAGCCAATGAGTATATAAATGCAATCATGAGTTAATCGGAATCGCGAATAACGCTTTGAGGATCAATCATGAAGATGTTGGTAGTACTCGTCGGAGTGATGGCAATTGCTCATGTAAATTACCTTTTTACATGAATGGGGACAAGGAGAATGCACGCATACACAAATGGCACGGAACAATTTAACGAATTTGATTGAAAATTCTATCGGTTTTAATCGATTCTTCGCTCCGCGGGGTTTTCATAGAAAATGTCCAATAGAAAATCCGTAAAATTTTCTTATTTGGTATGCAACCTGTAATGTCCAAAATTTTGTACTAGAAACTTTAAGGCTAGAATAATTTTATGATAACAAACCTTTTGTAGTCAGACGATTGAAACCTAAAGTTTTCTCCAAGAAATTCTGTTGAATTTCTATTGGAACTCTATAAGCTGCGGATTTTTAATAGAACCATTGATTGAAAATTCTATTGGTTTTAACCGATTCTTCACTCCGCGGGGTTTTAATAGAAAATGTCCAATAGAAAATCCGTAAAATTTTATCTTATATTGTATGCAACCTTTTGTAGTGAGACGATTGAAACCTAAAGTTTTCTCCAAGAAATTCTGTTCAATTTCTATTGGAACTCTATAAGCTGCGGATTTTTAATAGAACCAGCCAAAAGCGAATCGAAAGGTCAATAGAAATGCACAAGAATTGCAAAAAAATGCAAAATAATTTTCTAGCGATTTCGCCGGGTTTTTCTATGAAATTTTTTCGTTCGTGGGGAGTTGTAAGACTGGTGAAGATGGAGAGTGAAAAATAGTTTTGTAAAATCAAAGAAATAAATTGAAAAATTGAAATAATTTTTTTTTATTCTTCAATTAATGCAAGAACACATCGAAAAATATCCTTAACGTTACTACGCCCAATAAACCTCGCTTCCCTCGCTCATGACGGGGATTTCTCTTCTACCAACACGCCATATCGTATGGTAGGGGATTGTGCTCGAGCATGAAACTTCTCGTGATCTCTCAAGAGCTCCAATTCCTGGAACTTACTGCCACAAAAATTACAAAAATATTTTTCCGCAGATGATCTAGACGTACTGTGCTGCTGCAACGAGTGGGCGCCCAGGGTCTCAGCATTTTCGAATGCCGCGCTGCACTCTAGACACATCTGATTCACATGTTTTCTCCTATGCATTTCCTATGAAATCAGGAGACGTGTAAATTTTAATATGAATACACGGAGAGAAACAATTCTCTAGAGAATTCTATTTCATTTTTATTTTATTTATTAGAATTCTATTGAGAAATTCGATTTTTTTTTGTTATTTCTATAGAAGATTACGCAACTTTAGTGTACCATTCTGTTAAGAGATATTTGATAAAAGAAAGTCAATAGATTTTTATTTTTCGATAGAAATTCTTGGACGTAAATTTTCCAAGTTTTTTTCGCTGTATTTTCATTTGAGAATAATTGAGAATAACTAATAATTGAAAATTCCTGTGGAAAAATCCCAACACAGGAAGTTATATAGAAAAATCAACATCTGTAGACATTCTAAAACGCGAGGGGACGTTCCACAATTTTTAATAGAATTCATGCGAAAAATAAATGGAATTTTTCCATAGAATTCTAACAGAAATTCAATAGAATTTCTCAGGCCAAGCGGTGGGCTTTCTATTAAATTATTTCAAAGATATAAGTATAATGAGACGGCAAATGATCCTACCAATTTTTTCGGGCCAGGAAAGCTCTTGAAACAAATATCGCATATGTATTTCCAGTGGCCGTGATGCATAACGTTGACATGGCATTTTAATCCCCGAGCATCTGCGAATTTCTTCCCGCATGATGAGCACGGGATTGCTCCATGATTTGTCTCGCGATGTTTCTGGTAAAGTATTCCCAAATTATCATCGTATTTGATCATTGAAATAGCATCATTGAATGAACCAATTTATTAAGATTAGTTGTCAATAATGCCTCTTTAAAAAAAATATTGATACTCACTCGAAGGTGATACTTATAATTATTTTTATCTTCAAAAATCCTCCCACACGTCTCACATTCCATTGTCTCAGGCTCTGGATCCTTCATCACATCGTCGTGATGATTTTTCTGGAACAAAACAATTCAAAATAAACCAAAATCTTGACCATAAAATCGGATAATCTTCCTGTGAAAACATCTGCTCATACTTTTTGGTGAAATCGTAATTCAGATTCTAGGGAGAACTCCTGAGTGCAATATTTGCACATCAGCTGTATCTTTTTGCAGAGCTTGTGTCGTCTCAGGAACTGATCACTCGTTGCGAATTTCTCGCACTTCTCACAGAACCACTTCATCTTCTGATCTACATACACTTTGTGCGTGCTTTGCTTGTGAGTAACGAGATCGTAGGGGGTGGGGAATTTGAGACAGCAGGTGGAACAAGCGATCTGCAGGGGCCTGTGCAACTTTGCGTGGAGGGACATTAGATTGTCAGTGGAAATTGGCACTTTACAGATACTACAAACGCCATTCCTCCTCTCTATGGGTTGCGAGGGCACCAGAGAGCTCTGAAAACTCAGTTGATCTTCCGTTTTGGGTTTGATGAATTCCTTCACATCGACATAATGGCCTAAAGTATTTCCTGAGCCACCGGAATCCTCGGCCTCTTGGGAATGATCAACAGTAGTTTCTGGAGGATGATGAACATCATCATCTTTGGGAAGATCAATGTCAGCCTCTTCATTCTGATCAATACTGTCATAATGGTCTTTGTATTTATGTCGGAGCAGATCCTCCGATGTCTTGCAATCTTCATGACAAAGATCACAAATCCATTGTGAAGAGTGCGATGCCTTCATGTGATCATCGAACTCAGTCATGCCATCAAAATTGATCTCACATATACCACAGAACAATCGTTCAGTCGTATCCATCGGCTGCGATTCATCATCCGTATCCACATCTTTCTCCTGTTTAATTTTGTCGATCAAGACAACTTTCAATTGCTGCCTCAATATCTCATCAGCTACCAGAGATTGGGCTCTCAGTTTATCGCTTATGTCCAGAGCTTCGAGACATCCAGGGCAAATGTGAGATGGAAGTCTATCGTCTTCTCTAATCTGTGATCAAGTAGAAATTAATGACAACTTTTCTAATCATAATTAGGTGGGAGAAGGAGTGCACGGAGAGGAGCGAAGGCGCTGGATAAAAGGAGGAAGGAGGAAGACATAGGTTTGAGTTAGAGTGGAGATTTTAATGTAGAGGTGTGTCATATGAGCTGGACATGGCACCCTTCGGGGAATCATTAAATAAACATACATACTAATCATAATTAGTTCATTGAAAGGTGACAGTGTAAGGTTTCTGCGGTGTACTCACCTCTATTGGTAAACAATTGTTGATCTTCTCAGCTATTGGATTGGTTTTCGAATCGAAAATGGGATGATATTGTTTTCCCTTATTAGCACATAATCTACAAACGTTTTCAGCGATGTTTAGATCCATCTTGATGATAAATAATACTGACTAATGTGATTATTCGTGCATTCTTTGATTTGTTCCCATTTGTTTACGTTTGAGGTTACGGTAACGGTACATGTTATTGAAGTCACCATTTGACACGAGTCGTTTGAGAATCACTGGGCAACGAATAAAATTGAGCGGCAATATTTTCAATTTCCACGAATTTTTGAGGGCAGAAAAGTATCGAATTTTTTGTTCGACAAATATCAGATTTTTTGTCATCAAGAGAAAAATCATGATTGCAGTCATCCCTATGAAAAATCACCGAAACTATCCAGTAAACAAGAATAATGGCCAGAGCCATAAAAATAGATTTGAACGAGTTTCTTTATTCTTTGATTCGTGGGACGACACATCAAAACGTCTTTTATTCTACTAAGCTCAATAAATAGGGGTTGTGAGTCTCACTTCGCTCGTTCAGAACGAAGGTTTCGTGTCTAGGAGCATAACGTATCGTATGGCAGGGGGTTTTATCCCAGTGTGGGTGTTCTTGTGGTCCCTCAAGAGCTTCAATTGCTTGAACCTCATCCCACATATCTTGCAACAATAGTTTCCGGTTGATGGAAGAGATATGTTGTGCTTGGTCAGTAAGTGGGCAGTCAGGAGTCGTACAGTTTCGAAGTGCTGCCCACACTCTTGACACGTCTGATCTGCGTGTCTCTTCTTATGCTGGTACTGCAAAATCAGGAATACACGCGTAATAAAATTGAGTAGAAAAACCTTTCCCTTAGGAATTTATTGAATTTCTGTTGAAAGTCCATGAAAATGAGAACAAACTCTCGGAGTTTAATTAGAATTCCCTTAAAAAACTTTACCATGTCATTTTTTTGATGGACATTTCCTAAAAAAATCAATAGATTTTCATTTTTCTATTAAAATTCTTGAGCCCAAATTTTCTAAATTTTTTGGGCTGTATTTTTTTTTCTCTTTTTATTTTTGAAAAAAAATTTTTCTCATAATAAAATTCAAGAAACAATAAAACTTGGAAAACTCAAGCCCAAGAATTCTTATAGAGAAAATGCCAACAGAATAAGTTGTATAGAAAAATAAACATCTATAGGGGGGTTTTCGCCAATTATTGGTATGGTTTTGTACCTTCAAAAATTAAATTTTGGTGAGACTTCTTATACGGCTTTCTTATCATTGAAAATACCAAACTAAATTTTTGGCAATTTTTTTCAAATTTCGTTTTTAAAAATTTTTCCCAATTTTTCATTTTTTCATTTTTCCATTTCCAAAGTTATTATTTATCGACCATTTATGAATTTTTCTATAGAATATTTTCGCTGCTGAATATTTCCGTTGACTTCCCATTGAATTTTCCAATATAATTGAAGAAAAATAATAGAATTTTCAATAGAAATGCAATAGAATTTCCTAGCGAATTAGGTTTTTCTATGCGAATTTTTCCTGCCCGATGAGAAAAGAGAAACTATTAAATATGGAAATGCTCTTACCAAAGTTTTTGAATTACAGAAACTTTTGGAACAAACATCACACGGATATTTTGGCTGTTTCTCATGTTTAACTTCAAAATGAGCTTTCATGTTTGCAGCGTTTGAAAATGTCTTCCCGCAAGTTGGACAGGTGAATCTTCCTTCGTCCCTGGCTTGATGATTCTGTGAAGGTATTCTCACATTTTCAGCATAATTACTCATTAAAATTCCGTTATTATAGTTCAGTAATGGAGTGGTAAGAGAGGCGAGCGCTTTTGGCAACTTTCGTTGACAGATCAGATCATTATTTTTTGCAAATAAATCAGTGGAATTTATTTTCATCTTCCCATACAACTAATTTCACTGAGATATTTTCTATAATTCGTCGACATAAATTTTCTACTTTTATTCCACTCTATTCTTACTCTTTCTTATCTTAAAAAAATCAAACAAAAAAAATGGAAAAAGACGGCATTGTCTTATTTTTTTTGTTTAAAATTTTGTTTTTTAGTTTTAAATGAGTTTATCCTTAAAAAATTCAATTGCCTCTCGATTTTCCCCCACTCTATTATCGAATTGACTCGAACGATAACTATATTTACCCGAATATGGGCATTGAACTCTCCTTTTTCGACGTAACTCTTCCCACAGGTTCCGCATACCCACTTCTCCGAGTCTGGATCGTTCAGAACATCTTCAAAATGATTCCGCTGAAGTAATGAATGAATCACAATGAGAGATATCCTAAAGAAAAATTAAGGATATTCAAGTATTTTCGCTATTTTTTGTCCAAATAGTTTTCATTCCAGCCCCATTTGACCCTAAGTTTCCTGACATTTTACAATGATTTTAATATTTACACGTTGCAGATCTGAATTTGAGTATTAATATTGAACCGTTGAAAAATATTTTAAAAATGTAAAAAAAAATCAAAGTTTACTTCAAAAAATTTAATTAATCCATCAATTTTTTTAAATTTTCAATATTTTCTATAAACAATTTATAAGCAATCAATTTCCCATTATAAAAATCATTCGTTCGGAATCGTAAAAAATTTATTCATATTCTAAATTTTACCAGAAATCAATGTCATGCCTAAAAAAATTAGGTTTCCAAAAGTTTAAACAATTTCAATTATTTATTTACAAAGAATGAATGTTTAAAAAATAATTCTTTGGAAAATGTAGTTTGAATGATGCTGAATATTCGTGATTTTTTTTTAAATTTTTCTCACGCGATTTAATTGTCAAATTTAATGATTGAAAATGGTTGAAATATATATTCTGAAAATTATATATTTTATGTATGGGATTGGCCTGATTTACGCATAAAGTTGCATAAAATATAAATTTATACATGCTTGATATATATTGTACATAAACCTTACACATATTCGAAGAATATATTAAATTGGTCTATATTACATAAATTTTTTATACATTTTTCCATGAGGGCTGTACAAACTGTAAAAGATCCTTGAATATCCTTAACCAAAATTTTCCCCAGAGCTTCCCATACTTTCTGGTGAATCTGCAATTCAGATTTCTGGAAGAACTCTAAGGTACAGTACTTGCACTTCATCTTGACTTTCGTGCAGAACTTGTGTCGCTTCAAGAACTGCACATTGGAAGCAAATCTCTCGCACTTGTCGCAGAACCACTTCATCGTCTGGCCCACAAAGACTTTGTGATCGATTTGTTTGTGGGTAACAAGATCATAGGGGGAGGGAAATTCCAGGGAACATGTGGGGCAAGTGATCTGTCGGTTCTCGTGCATCTTGAGGTGAATCGGCATCAGACTTTCAGTGGCAATCGTCACACTGCAGACATGACACTCGACATTTTCCCTCTCTGCTTGCTGTTGGCCCTCAGTGCTCTCGACCTTCAGTAAATTTTCCTCCTTGACCTCGAAGGATTCAGTCACATCGTCGTCAGGATCTTCCGTCCTCTGGGGATGATTGATGGTGGAGTCTTTGGGAAGATCAACGTCAGCCCCTTCATTCTGATCAATACTGTCATAATGGTCTTTGTATTTATGTCGGAGCAGATCCTCCGATGTCTTGCAATCTTCATGACAAAGATCACAAATCCATTGTGAAGAGTGCGATGCCTTCATGTGATCATCGAACTCAGTCGTGCCATCAAAATTGATCTCACATATACCACAGAACAATCGTTCAGTCGTATCCATCGGCTGCGATTCATCATCCGCATCCGCATCTTTCTCCTGTTTAATTTTGTCGATCAAGACAACTCTCAATTGCTGCCTCAATATCTCGTCAGCTGCCAGAGATTGGGCTCTCAGTTTATCGCTTATGTCCAGAGCTTCGAGACACCCTGGGCAAATGTGGGAGGGAAGTCTATCGTCTTCTCTAATCTGTGATCAATTAGGAGTGAATGATCACATCTCTATCAACACGTGTGAAGTAATTTTATTGGAATTCAATTAGNCGAGTGTGATGCCTTCATGTGATCATCGAACTCAGTCGTGCCATCAAAATTGATCTCACATATACCACAGAACAATCGTTCAGTCGTATCCATCGGCTGCGATTCATCATCCGCATCCGCATCTTTCTCCTGTTTAATTTTGTCGATCAAGACAACTCTCAATTGCTGCCTCAATATCTCGTCAGCTGCCAGAGATTGGGCTCTCAGTTTATCGCTTATGTCCAGAGCTTCGAGACACCCTGGGCAAATGTGGGAGGGAAGTCTATCGTCTTCTCTAATCTGTGATCAATTAGGAGTGAATGATCACATCTCTATCAACACGTGTGAAGTAATTTTATTGGAATTCAATTAGAATTTTTGGGCATGATTTTTGTAATTTGTTTTCTTGGATTTTATCATGAGAAACAAATGAAAATGTAGTGGAAAAATTGTGGGAAATTTACGCTCGAGAATTTCGGTAGAAAAATAAAAATCTATTGACTTTTTATCGAGTGACACAATAAATAAATATAATTAAATATAATTTTTAATTGAATTCTACTGAAGCTTTAAGGGAATTCTTACAGAATTCTAACAGAAATTCAATAGAATTTCTTAGAGAAAGCGTTAGGTTGTTCTGAGGTTGAGATGACTCACCTCTATTGGTAAACAATTGTTTATTTTGACAGCTATTGCACTGTTTTTCGAATCGAAAATAGACTGATACATTTTTCCATGGTTTGCACATAATCTGCAGACGTTTTCATTAATATTGAGATCCATTTCATTCAACTATTCAATCAATACTGATGTGATTATTCGTTCATTTCTTTGTTTCTTCCGATTTGTTTACGATTGAGGTTGCTGACGTAGCAACCTCACCATTTTCACTGATGAGCAGCAGTTGAAAGCTGCACAGACTCGTTCATGCGACGTGTTATAACCTCAATCAATCGTAAACATCGAAACAGCCTCAGCAATGCATGAATAATCACATTAGTCAGTATTATTTATTACCAATATGGATCTAAACATCGCTGAAAACGTTTGTAGATTATGTGCTAATAATGGAAAACAATACCATCCCATTTTCGATTCGAAAGCCAATCCAATAGCTGGGAAGATCAACAATTGTTTACCAATAGAGGTGAGTACACCGCAGAAACCTTACACTGTCACCTTTCAATGAACTAATTATGATTAGTATGTATGTTTATTTAATGATTCCCCGAAGGGTGCCATGTCCAGCTCATATGACACACCTCTACATTAAAATCTCCACTCTAACTCAAACCTATGTCTTCCTCCTTCCTCCTTTTATCCAGCGCCTTCGCTCCTCTCCGTGCACTCCTTCTCCCACCTAATTATGATTAGAAAAGTTGTCATTAATTTCTACTTGATCACAGATTAGAGAAGACGATAAACTTCCATCTCACATTTGCCCTGAATGTCTCGAAGCTCTGGACATAAGCGATAAACTGAGAGCCCAATCTCTGGTAGCTGATGAGATATTGAGGCAGCAATTGAGAGTTGTCTTGATCGACAAAATTAAACAGGAGAAAGATGTGGATACGGATGATGAATCGCAGCCGATGGATACGACTGAACGATTGTTCTGTGGTATATGTGAGATCAATTTTGATGGCATGCCTGAGTTCGATGATCACATGAAGGCATCACACTCTTCACAATGGATTTGTAATCTTTGTCATGAAGATTGCAAGACATCGGATGATCTGCTCCGACATAAATATAAAGACCATTATGACAGTATTGATCAGAATGAAGGGGCTGACATTGATCTTTCCAAAGATGATGATGTTCATCATCCTCCAGAAACTACTGTTGATCATTCCCAAGAGGCCGAGGATTCTGATGGCACAGCAGATTTTTCAGACCATTATGTCGATGTGAATGAAGCCATCGAAATCAAAGAAGAGGGGTTGGAGAATTCTCAGGGTGCTGAGCTGCATGCCCAACCCTCAGAGCAAAGGGATATTGTATGTACTATATGCGACGTGACTATTGCCAATGAGAAGTTGATGTCCCTTCACGTTAAAATGCATGAGCCCCGACAGATCACTTGTCCCACCTGTTTTCGGGAATTTGCCTCTGCCTACGATCTCTTTATTCATAAGCAAAAGGTACACAGAGTGTTTATTGATCAGAAGATGAAGTGGTTCTGTGAGCAGTGCGAGAGATTTACAGCGAGTGTTCAGTTTTTGAAACGACATAAACACTGCGCCAAGATTAAGATGAAGTGCAAGTACTGCAGCCAGAAGTTCTTCAAAAAATCAGAACTGCAGATTCATCAGAAGGTATGGACAGTATTTTTGAGGACACCTTATTCATCCTATTTATTCAGAATTCATTTTCACTCGTAGCTTTATCGTTTCAGAAAAATCATTATGACGATGTGATGAAGGATCCAGAGTCCGAGAAGTTTGAATGTGAGACGTGTGGAAAGAGTTACGTGGAAAAGTCTTATTACAATTCCCATGTCAGGGTGAGTGTGAATAATTTTTTGAAATAATTTAGAAGTGAAGCACGTGATTAACAAACGAGTTCTATAAAAATATATTACAAAGCTTGAACTGTTTTGGAATTAATCCGACCCATTCTGTCTCATTTTCAGACATCGGCATAATCGTAAATTTTGAATAAAGTTAACTTCTGAATTTGTTGATTGGTTAATACCACTCAACAATTTTTTCATTATTAAATTGATCATCAATTAAATATTCAAATTTCGAATTATTCAATCCATAGTCAATTCACAATTTCATAACTCCAATTATTTTTATTCTTCGAATTTCAATGAAAATGAGTAAACCTTAACTATTTTAAGGTGAAACTTTTCTTAATTTTGTGACTTCATTACTGAATTATAGCGATAATCCAAGTTCAATTCTTGAAAACAATAAAAACGTGAATATATTTTCCAGAAACATCAAGCCAAGCATGAGGGAAGGTTCACGTGTCCAACTTGCGAGAAAAAATTCTCAACTGCTGCAGTATTGAAGTGTCACATTGAAGTTAGGCATGAAAAACAGCCGAAATATGTATGTGATATTTGTTCCAAAAGCTTTTGCGGCTCGAGAAATCTGGTAAGATCATTCGCATATTTTATCATTACAAAATAAATAAAAATAAATATTTCTGCTTCATCCATTCTCTTTATATTTTTTATATTTTGGCTCCATTATTTTCTGAATATTAACAACACCAATCATTTTTCCAAAAATAAAAAATCGTCATTGATTATGCCTTATAATTTCGACAGCAAGTTCATCGAAAGAGGCATGCGAGTCAGACATGTCAAGAGTGTGGAGAGAAATTCGAAAACACTCGGATACTGGCTGCACACTTATTGAAACAGCACAATATATCCGTACCATCTGCAGGGAAATATGCGTGTAAAATGTGTGGGAAGAAGTTCCTGAAGATGAGGCTCTTGAGGGACCACAAGAACACTCACACTGGCACGAGACCACATGTTTGTGACACATGTCACAAAACATTCCGGTATAAACATTGCTGTATTTAAATTCACCTCATAAATTTTCAGCTCTTTCTGAATATTTCAAAATTGAGAGGAGACATTCAGTGAAAGCTCCACATTTTTGCTGTTTAATTTGAAAGTTATATTTTTATTTCAATACCCAGAACTTATGCAGCACGATGGGCACACGAGCAGAGGCACAAGAATGGAGGTTTCATCTGCGATTATTGCAAGCATAATTTCACGTATGTAATAATTACTATTTTATTATTTAATTGTTATTAATTTTTTATGGAGATTGTCATGAAAATCTTTTTAAAGGGAAAAACTAAAAGAAGAATAGAATGCAATTTGATAAAAATTTGGAGAATTCCATTTTTACGAAGAAAATTAAATTTTTATTTTATTTTATTATTTAATTGCTATTAATTTTTTACGGAGATTGACATGAAAATCTTTTTTTAAGGGAAAAGCTAAAAGTAGAAAAGAATGCAATTGAATAAAAATTTTGAGAATTCCGTTTTTATGAAGGAAAAATGAATTTCTATAGAAAAGTCAAAATCTAAAAAAATTTAAAAATGTTAAAAATCAAAATTTCTTAGAATGGGGTTCTGAGAATGGGTTTTTCTATTAATTTTTGTCATGTGTGTTAATGAATTAAACGATTTTCCTCATTCAGCGATAAAAACAACCTGCGAAGACACATTTCCCGGCACTTGCCACCCGAAGAGTGGCGATACGAGTGTGAAATATGCAACAGGAAATTGCAGAGGCTCTCCCACCTGCAGCGACACGTGGAGAGACACAAAGCGACCTACCCGTACCGATGCAACATATGTGGATTCAGATTTCTCAGTAAGGGAGCTATGACGTCGCATAAAAATCAAACACACAGCGAGATACTCGGTCTCAATTGCGGATAATTGTCATTTTGGGGAAAATAAAACTGCCTGACATACCTTCACTGCTGATTTTGTTTTTTTCTTGGATTTGATTGTGGGAAATGAATGAAAATACAGCGAAAAAAACTTGGAAAATTTATGCCCAAGAATTTCTATAGAAAAATGAAAATCTGTTGACTTTTATCTATTCACAAATTGTATTTAAAAGCGCGGGGGGATGTTGCATAATTTTTAATAGAATTGGCGCAAAAAACAAGTAGAGTTTTTTAATAGAATTTAATAAAAATCCGATAGAATTTTTTATAAAAAGCGCTAGATTTTTCTATTTATTATTTTGTGTGATGTCACGTCAGAAAAAATTCCGTAGAAAACCCAGCGAATTCGCTAGAAAATTCTGTTGGGATTCTATTGAATAATTCAGTTTGTCTTTCACGTTGATTCTATTGGATATTCGATAAAAAAGTCAATAGATTTCAAATTTCCGTTTCAATTTTCGTCTTGAGATTTTTTATATAGGAATGCTTGGGCATCAATTTTCCACGTTTTTCCACTCGGATTCTGCAATGTAACAAAATCCAGCGGTAAAAATTGGAAAATTTGCGCCCAATAATTCTGATAGAAAAATCTCAGAGAAAAATTCAAATAGAAATTCGAAATCTATTGACTGTTTCAACAGTCAATTTCTGACAAACCAAGAAATACGAAAAAAAACAGCAAAAACCTAAAAAAAGAAAAATGAAAATAAAATTTCCTATAGAATTCCAATAGAATTTTCTAGCGAATTCGCTAGGTTTTCCATTGAATTTTTTTATGCGTGGTCGTCCGCAAAAATAAATTACATTTTTTCATAATCGTCGCCTCTACGTTCCTTCAAAATATGGCGCCTGGAGTAACAGTCCGACCCGCGCTGCTTCCCTATACTAATAACCTCCAAAGCCTTCTATTTGCACAATTCGATGTAATGACACTCATAAACATTAAATTCCACTATTTATCAATCCTTTAAAAAATGGATTCAAAAGTGGACGCTGTTAAACCCCCAAGAATCTGCCGACTGTGTCTAAAAACAGGGCCCAGTTATCGTTCGCTCTTCGCTGAGAAGAATAAAATAGCCGACAAAGTCAGCAAGTGTTTACCAATTCTGGTAAGTGATACTATCGATAACTCCATCTCCATTCCCTCCAATCACTCCACTTGGGCTCACCAATCAATTTTTTAAAAATCACTTAATTTATTTCTTTTATGTTACGAACATGTTTCTCCGTTTTGCACTCTCACTAGGCTTTCACGTGTCCCATGTTCTTCTCAATTGAATAATCAAATATCTTCGCGTTTACAATTATATTTACGTTGTTGACATATTCAATAAACAATATTTAAGGGGAGACTACTATGAGGTTTAGAAGTCGTGGGATATTGGAGTGAGATTTCTCATGCATTGAAGATCGATTATATGTGTCTAACAGCGAATATTTCTCGGTTTTTTGTTTGATTTTTTAAATAAAAAAAATAGGGTGAAAAAAAATTAGCAAATTCCAGTCCAGAAGTTCCTATAGAAAAAGTTCTTTACAAAAATCAAATTCTCCTGATTTTCCTATAAAAGAACATTTTAAAAATAAAATTAAAAAAAAACTAAAAAATGAAAAAAAAATTAAAACAAAATATTTTCGAAAAAATAAAAGAAAAATGTAAACAACTATTTAAAAAATAAAAAATGAAATAAAAAAAAATTAAATTAAAAGAACATTTTAAAAATAAAATTTTAAAAAAACTAAAAAATGAAAAAAAAAATTAAAACAAAATATTTTCGAAAAAATAAAATAAAAATGTAAACAACTATTTAAAAACTAAAAAATGAAATTAAAAAAAATTAAATTAAATTTTAAAAAATAAAAATGAAATTTAATTAATTAAATTTAATTTAATTAATTTTCTTTATTAATAAAAAATAATAAATTATGTTTTTGTAATATAAAAATATAAAATATTTTCGATAGGACCCTCTCGAAAAAAAGTGCAGTCAATCTGCCGAATTGTTCATCAAAATCATCTAAAAATCGATATAACTTTTTCTACGAGATCTTTTCCCCACGTCCCCATTTAGTTCCTTGCCTCACCAATGAATTACAGGTGAACCCAAACGACGAGTTACCGAGCCACATATGCCCGCTATGCCTGCGCTCCCTGAACATCAGCTACAAGCTGCTGATCCAAGCGATAGAGACAGATGGAAAGCTCCGAAAGCAGCTCTTAGAGTCTCAAGCAGAGAGGCTCCTGCAGGAGCCAGGAACGGTGTTCAGGCCCCCAGGATCCCAGGAGAATGACGCAGACAACCCAGGCATATGTGGAATCTGCGAGATTCGTTTTGAGGACGCAGCTGCCTTCGACAGCCACATGGAGATGTTCCACCACTCGAAGTGGGTCTGCAACCTCTGCCAAAGTGACTTTGAGACCTCCGAGGAGCTCCTCCAGCACAAGCACAAGAGTCATTACGATAACGTCGAGGGGACTGGGCTGCCAGAGGGCTGCATTGACACTGGGACGATAGACATAAAGGAGGAGAAGATTTCCTCGGCCTCTGAGCACTCTGACGCTGAGCCCTCGACCCCTCAGGAGTCTGAGGTCCGCAGGAGAATCTCCAGGGCATCCAGAAAACGAAAGGAGGAAAAAACGAAGGAGGGAGAGACGAAGGAGACACCAGAGCCCAAGAGGGAGTGCAGAACCAGGGATGATTGCAAGGTCTGTGGCATCACCCTGGAGAGGGTGACGTCCCTCACTGAACACATGAAGATCCACGAACCTTACGACGTGGAGTGCCCCGAGTGCCAGGCGAAATTCACGACTGCTTACGATTTTTGTTTGCACAAACGAGATTTTCATAAGAGCCATCCTGAGAGGCCCATCAAGTTCTTCTGCAGACTTTGCAACAGGATGATGTGGGAACTGAGGGCTCTGAAGGTACATGAAAATTGCAAGAAGCCCAGGCACACCTGCAAGTACTGCCAGGAGAACTTTTGCGTGAAGAAACTACTGAGGCTGCATCAGAATGTAAAGTGTTTTTATGAATTTTTTGCATGTGTCGAGGCTGGGGGCTCATGCCAATGATTTTTTGCAGAAGGAGCATCGCCAGGAGATGATGGAGGATGCCAGTGTGGAGAAGATGAGCTGTGAGTACTGCATGAAAGTGTTTGTCGACAAGAAGATTTTCTACGATCATGTGTATGTAAGTATAAGGGGTAAAGGAATTATTCGATTTTTTTGTTTTCTGTTTTGAGAAGCAGGAGAAGGACTTCGGTCAACAACCCAGAGAAAGCGGGAGTTGAATTTCATGGGTGGGGAAATTTAATAGAACAATTTAGTGCAGTCCTTGGAAAATTCTATTTTTTGCAACAATTTCATGAAAAATTATGATGAAATTATGTGAAAAATGTCTAGATGTTGATTTCTTTATATTATTTATTCTGTTGGGATTTTGGCTATAGAATTCTTGAGCATGATTTACTAAAGTTTTTTTCGTGGATTTTATAATGAGAAACAAATGAAAATTTACGCATTTCTATATGAAAATAAAAATCCATTGACTTTTTTCTATCGAATATCTCTTAACAAAATAATGCAGTGAAGTTGCATAATCTTGCATAGAAATGGTACAAAAAATAAGTATTTTTTCTTGGATTTTATAATGAGAAACAACTGAAAATACAGCGGAAGAATTTTAGAAAATTTAAAGTCAAAATCTATTGACTTTTTTCGACTTTTCGTTATTCTTTCAGCTCCACAGTAGATCATTGGTTTACCGATACCAATGTAAATTCTGTGAGAAAGACTTTGGCAGTTCGTCGTCAATGAAAAATCACGTTGAGTCGATTCACGATAAAATCCAGAAATACGAATGTCGGACTTGCAAGAAGAAATTCTGCAACAAGAAGAATTTGGTAATTCCACAAGAATTTCATAGATAACTATCAGCAAACTCTTTGAATACACTGAGTTGTTTGATAATTGTTATCTCTATTTAATTGCAGCAAACGCACGAGAGGATCCACTTAAAACTTCACTGCAAGCGCTGCAAAAAGAAATTCGAAACTGTTGAACTTGTTAATCAACACATGAAGGATGTTCATGATGTACCATTGAAGGTAAAACGATTGTACACGTGCCCACATTGCGACAGAAAATTCACCAGGCGGAGTGTAATGGAGGACCACAAGAATACTCACAGTGGGAAGACACCACAGACTTGTCCAATTTGCAACAAAAAATTCAGGTATTTCATGTTATTTTTCTATTTATTTCAACAATATTTCTATTTCTTTCTTTTTTAAATTCATTGACTCGTGTGGGACTTCAATGGAAATGTTTCAAGTGTATGAAATCAATAATTTTTTATCAACGAACGAATTGAATAAAAAAACCTAAAAAATGGCCGTGACTATTCGCACCATTGCGTGAATCACTCCCGTACACTCCATACACTCCACGCATGCGTGAAGTTTGTGTGTTTCACGCAGCCGAATTTTCATACTGCTGTGTATTTCACGCAGTTGAAGTTTCATACTACTGTGTGTTTCACGCAGT